CCTGGGAAGGTTGCTCTTTACTTTAGTAACGCTGCTCAGGGCTAGAGAGATGGCTCAGGGCTTAAGAGTACTGGCTTTTCTTGCTGAAGACCCAGGTTTGAATTCTAGCATTCATGTGGCAGCTAACAACTGTCTGTAACTCCAGTTCCTGGGAATCAGATGCCCTCTTCTTTCCTCCATGGGCATTGCACAACACAGGTGCACTTACACACATGTAGGCAATACACTCATCCACATAAAATAATAAATAAAATATTTTTTTTAATTAATATAAAATATTTTAATAAAAGTAAATCAAAAATAAAATTTTTAAATTTACACTGTTTTTATTCTGGTGTGGTGGTGCACACGCTTAATCCCAGCTCTCAGGGAGGGTAGAGGCAAGCAGAGCTCTGTAAAGTAGAGACTAGTCTGGTCTATAGAGCAAGTTCCAGGCCAGCAAAATCCTGTCTCAAAAAAATTTTTAGCATTTCTTTGTGAGCATACACATGACACTGTGAACATGTGGAGTCAGGACCACTTGCAGAAGCTGGTTCTTCTACCACGTGGCTCCAGGGACCAAAGTCAGGTAGTCAGGTTTGATTGCAAACTCCTTTATCTGCTGAGCCATCTTGCCCTCCCAATAAAGACAGTTTGAAGTCCACATATACTTGAAGTGACTTTTTCTTTCACTCTGTGAAACCTGGGTAGTGTTTGGAAAAGTGACAGGGCCTGGCAGACTGACTTCTCCTCTGCTTATGACCCACAGGAACTACCACGTGTTTTATTATTTGCTGCTGGGTGTTAGCGAGGAAGAGCGCCAAGAATTCCAGCTCAAGCAGCCCCAAGATTATTTCTACCTCAACCAGGTAAACAACTATGGAGCAGCCACAGGCACCTTCTCTGTTCCCTGGGCTGTCTACCACACAGGTCAGAGGCCACCCGCCTGGCCCAGCACCACAAAGGCCTTACAAAAGCAGCCATTCATCTCCACTGCTGAGCCCTTCCTCCCTATTCGGCCCCGTCACCCTGAGTGCCACCCTCCTGGCTGGAAGCATCCAGAATGCTACACCTTTGTTTTTTCAGCATAACTTGAATATCGAAGACGGAGAAGACCTGAAACATGATTTTGAAAGACTCCAGCAGGCCATGGAGATGGTGGGCTTCCTCCCTGCCACTAAGAAGCAGTAAGTGGGCTACTGAGCTGCCAGGTGATGACCGGTCCCTCTTAAGGTCTGACATGTAGCCCTATAGACAGTAGGCAGCACCCACACAGATCTACTTCGTATTGCTAAGCACAGGCCAGGCCTCAGTCAAGAGTCACTGTGAGACCTCAGCCTAAACGAATGTGAACCTGGATGTGGCCAGGCACCTCCCAATCCCAGCACTCAAAACAATAAGGAAGGAGTGTGGTGTGTTTAAGACCAGCCTTTGCTGTATAGCAAGACGCTGTCACAAGGAAATAAGGAAAAGCAGTAAGTAGGGTAATAAGCCAGATGTGACTCATAGCTATGATCCCAGCACTCAAGAAACAGAAGCAAGGAAAGGATTCCTGCAAGCTCAAAGCCAGCCTGATCTCCATAGTGAGTTTGAGGCTAGCCAGGACTAAATGACACCCTGTCTAAAAACAAAAACAAGCAAAAAAACCTAAAGCCAGACATGGTCTAAATCTCAGTGCTTAGGAAGATGTTAGTTTAAGGCCAGCCCTGGGTTCCATTCCCTGCACCACATAAACCAGCCGTGGTGACATATGCCTGTCACCCTAGCACTTGGGAGGTGGCAGCAGGGGCTCAAGGTCATCCTCAGCTACATAGGGAGTTTGACCCTGTCTCTCTCTCTCTCTCTCTCACACACACACACACACATACACACACACACACACACACACACACACACACACACACACACACAGGAGGAAGAGGAAAGCACACAAAGCCCCGAAGCAGCCTCTCTTTCTCCCCCAGGATCTTCTCTGTACTCTCAGCCATCCTATACCTGGGCAATGTCACTTACAAGAAGAGAGCCACAGGCCGAGATGAAGGTCTGGAGGTTGGCCCCCCCGAAGTGTTGGACACCCTGTCCCAGCTCCTGAAGGTATGCCTGTTGCCACCATCCCTCAGGCTTGCTTCCTACTCTCTGCTATAGCCGGAGCGAACAGCCACCTCTTAATGCAGGGGACAAGTGCCCACAGCTTCCTTTGTCTGTCTGCTGAAGATTTTGTAAGCCTGGGCTCATTCGCCTGCTTCCTCCCTGTCATCTCTGAGATGCCCCTTCCTCATTCCTATGTGTGTGTTAACTGCACCCCTGTGTGGTGGTCAGAGGACAGCTCTGTGGAGTCACTTTTCTCCTTCCGCCTTTATGTGGGTTCCATGGTTGGAACCCGGGTCATCAGGTTTGCTTGGCAAGCACATTTACCTGCTGAGCTATCTTGTCGGCCTCCATGTTATCTTGAGACAGGGTTTCTCACCAAGCCTAGGGCTCACTGATTAGGTGGACTGAGTCTTCTGTGGACTCGGGTCCTCCTACGTCCCCCTCCCATCGCCATGCCCCTTTTCACACAGGCGCTGGGGTCTGAGCTCAGGTCCTCCTGCTTATGTACTTTACTCTCTGAGCCACATTACCAGCCCCCTCTCTCAAGGCTGTCTCCTGCTTCAGCCCTTCAAGCCAAAAGCTCTCTTTTGGGGAACTGGAAAGACAGCTTAGGGGTTAAGAGCGTGTACTGTCCTTGCAGAAGACCTGAGTTCAGTTCCCAGCACCTACATTGGCACAGATCACAAATGCCTGTAACTCCAGCTCCAGAGGATCCAACGCCCTCTTCTGGTTACTATGGGTACCTGCATGCACATCACATGTATCCCCACTACATAATTAAAATAAATCTTAAAAAATCAACCATAGTTTGTGAGGCTGAGGCTGTAACTCAGTTGCTTAGTATGCATGGAGCCCTGGGTTTCTTCCCAGCACCTCATAAGCCTGGGGTGGTGGCACATACCCGTCATCCCAGCACTGAAGAGGGAGAGAAAGGAGGATGAAAGTTCAAGAATAGCCTTTGCAAGTTCCAGGCCAGCATGGACTACATGAGACCCTGTCTCAAAAAATTTAATTAAAAATTTCAAATGTAGCCTGGGGCAAGGTACTGTAGTACAGGCCTGTAACCCCAGCTCCTCTGGAGGCTGAGGCAGGAGGCATCCAAGTTCACGGACTGAGTGGGCGACCGGGTGTCTTCAAGGGCGACTTGGACACCTCATTGAGACTGCTCTCAGTACCTCACACAGCTAGCTCCTTGTAGAGTGGAGCCCCTTTGCTGATTCAGTTGGTTCCCAGCTGGGGAGATTCTGCCCCTGGGGAACCTTCCTGGGCATTGTCTGGAGACTTTTGTTCCACACACTAGGGTTCGCTACTGACACCTAGTGCCTGGAGGCCTCAGTGCTTCTCAAAGCCTTGAGTGCAGGGGTCCAGCACCAGCTCACAGGTGGAGAGGCCACTACACCTGCCTTTGAGTTTCTGTTTCCTTGCCTAGCCCTAAACTCATTGTGTAGACCAGTTGCCTTGAACTCACAGAAATCCACCTGCCTTTGCCTCCTGAGTGCTAGGATCAAAGGGGTGCACTACCATGCCTGGCTTTTTTTCCTTTTTTAAGATTTTGGGAGGGATCTTTTTTTGAGACAGGTCTCCTGTGGCCCCAGATGACCCTGAACTTGCTATGTAGACCTTGCTATGGCCTTGATCTCACAGAGATCTGTCTGCCTCTGCCTCTCCAGTGTGGGGATTAGAGGCATGTGCTACCAAGCCTGGCTAAGAATTATTTTATTATTTTATGTGTGCGTGTCTGTGTGTGGGTTTGTGCACATGCGTTCAGGTACCCTCAGAGGCCAGCAGAGGGAATGGAATCCCCTGGAATTGCAGTTTCGGCTGATCGTAAGCTGTCTGTGTGGGCACTGGGAACTGAACCCAGGTCGTCTACAAGAGCAGCAAGTGCTCCTAACCATCCCTCCAGCCCCTTTTTCTTGGATTTTTGAGATAGGAGCTCATGTAGCCCAGTCAGGTTTTGAAGTCCTGATCCTCTCACAGGCATTAAGGAGACAGATGTACATCATCACAATGAGCTTCATCCCTGGTTTCTTAGCATAGAAGCATTGGAAGCTTGTTAGAGAGGGGAGGGCAACCTCTGCTGAGCTCTGGAGGCTGTGGGGTCTCCCTATCTGAATTCTTGCTACTGGCTGCAGGAACCAGGCCTCAAATCTCCAGGTGAATTCCCAGCACGTAGTAGAGGAACTGGCTGGAGAGGTGCACAGCCACTCCTGGGGGCCTGGACAACTGTTTCCCAAAGAGCATTCTCCATAGGCTAAGGGCAGCCCCACCCAGCTACTGGGCCTCCCCTCCCGCCTCTCCCAGCACTTGGGGTCTAGCCTCTACCACAGAAAACACCCACAGGCTTCCCAGCCCCCCCCCTTCTAATGCAGAACCCCTCATGGCTTCTCAGCTCCTGTCCTCTCTCTGACCTTCAAACAGGTAAAGCGAGAAATACTGGTGGAAGTCCTGACCAAGAGGAAAACAGTGACAGCCAACGACAAGCTCATCCTGCCTTACAGCCTCAATGAGGTGAGTGCTGATGGAGGGCCAGCGGGTCCTGAAGTCATTGTCAAGGGTCTTGGTGCCCGTGCAGGCGGTCTCCAGTCATTCTGGACTCACCAGGATCTGTCTCAGAGCTCATTAGACAGTTCATTCCCCTGCACTCATTGTACCAGAGAGCTTCCCGTATAAGTTCGGTGTAGTAGATTAGCAATAGCGCTTCGGAACAAGAAGGTAGAAATAACGGGGTGCGTTGCAAGTCATGAGATGTGGCCTCTTCTCTCAAACACCTCACTGGACTTTGAACTTCTTGAAGGAGGTATTTCGTGGCTTAGGTTTGGTGAACCTGAACTGACGGCGTCTCCTTTTCATTCTGATATAATTGCACACTAACCCATGCTACTTTTGAACGTGAGCAGTGCTCCTACATCAGTCTCCCCAGTGTGGGGGTTATGGGTGCACACCACTGACCCCAGCTGTCCAGCACCCATGTGTGTGCTCCAGGCCAGCTTTCTTTACAATTACCAGTGTGGCAGTCACCACTGAGTAGCAGGGATAAGCTGGGTAGCCAGCGGGGATGTAGCCAAACTGCACCTCAGTGTTCAGTGTACAGTTTTTGTTTTTCAAAGTAACAGAGCCCATCAGGCCCTAAAGCTGGAAACAGTGATTCCTTGCCTTGTTCCAGAGAAGGGTAACAGCGCCCAGGCTGGGGCATGACGTTTCTCTGACCCCTGGTAGGTGGGTCTGCTCCTCAGCCTTCTTGTGTGCTTGTTTCCTGCACTGTGAACATGGGGGTGACATTGGGGAAGCACCTGATCACCAGGTTTAGAGGGTTAGCTGTCAGGGCGCTCTCTGAAGGAAAGCTGCTCAAACATTCCAGCTATACCAGAGACAGTCTGAGCCCATATAGGGCCGAGGCATCCCCATAAGACAAGAAGTCGTTGCAGCTCAGGGAGACTGTGTGAGCTGGGGTTCCTTAGAGACCATGAAAGTGAGGGTCCCCAGCAGAAGCTGGGTAATCCATAGTCCCCCAGAGGTCACGTGAGTGATAGTCCCCAGCAGAGGCCATGTGAGTCAGGGTCCTTGGTACTTTCCACATAGCTATTGCCTTGACAAGGAAAGTCAAAACTAGGGGACATGTCCATAGTGAAGGCAGCTGGCTGCACCCGGAAACTAGATAGATACCATAGCAAGGACTGCTGCGACTGGTTCCTCCAGTTGCCAGGTTGCAGCCACACTTAGCTGATTTGCAGCCTCACACCTAGGCTGAGTGCTGGAGCCCAAGGTTCAGCTGAACAACAGGTCCTGCTCTTGATACAGGTATAGCTGTAACCAGGGCAAGTGTTTGTGAACACACCTGAACATAGGTGAGGCCCAGTGAGCACCATGGAGGGCTGGGTATGGCTCAGACTGAAGTGCCTGCCACGTACATGAGTACAGATTCCCTGTGCTGCCCATCAGCAGCAGGCAGGAAGATTAGGAGTTCAGGATTATTCTTGGCTATTCAGTATGTTTGAGGACAGCCTGGGCTACATGAGACTTTGTTTCCAAAAAATAAATAAATAAATAAAAAGAACTTGAGAGGTCACCCACAGTTGGCCCCACCTCTGTCCATAGGCCATAACTGCCCGAGACTCGATGGCCAAGTCTCTGTACAGTGCCCTGTTCGACTGGATTGTGCTGAGGATCAACCATGCTCTCCTCAACAAGAAAGACATGGAAGAGGCCGTGTCGGTGAGTGTCCAGGCCCCAAGCCAGGCAGGGACAGGAAACATCCCAGTGGACAGCCTGTGGCATCAGGAACCTCGTGTCAGCCCTCAGTGTCCACGTGAGAGCCCAGAAATATGCTAGGGCCATGGGAAGGGTTTGCCCTCAGCTTCGCTGGCATGCAGGCATGAGGCCTGGGTTCCCTGTGCAATGCCAAAAATATTCTCATTTGATGAGGCTCGAGAGATGGTTCAGCAGTTAAGAGCACTGGCTGCGCTTTTACAGAGGACCTGGGTTCAATTCCTAGCACCCATATGGCATTTAACAACTGTCATATCATTAGTTCTAGGGGATCCTCTCTGGGCATTGCACACACAGGTACACTCATATACATTCAGGCAAAACACTCTTATACATTAAATAAAAATAAATAAATCAAAAAAAAATTTAAGATTCTCATTCGCATATAAAATGATGGGTGACCAGCTGAGCCCAGGGCCCTCAGGACCAAGCAGACCTCCACTGAGCAAACCCTGCTCAGGAGGGTAACCACTCCTGTCTTCCCCAGTGCTTGTCTATTGGGGTCCTGGACATCTTTGGGTTTGAAGACTTTGAGAGGAACAGCTTCGAGCAGTTCTGTATCAACTATGCCAATGAGCAGCTGCAGTATTACTTCAACCAGCACATCTTCAAGCTAGAGCAGGTGAGCCACCGACAGCCCTCTGTTGGCTCACACCAGGAGACTGGGAGCGTTGTCAGCCAGACCTGTCAGTGTGCAGCCTGGCAACGGGCCCCCACAACCCTCAGTGTTCAAACCATGTTGCTTTCAGGGCTACAAGATTCCCAAGTCCCAGATGCTCTAGTCCCTTGTATTCACCATCCCCTTAGGCTACAAGCCCTTCTAGGTGGTCCAGAACTCCAGCACAGCTTTATAATTGTGTGACAGTTCTGTCATACTGTCTGGGATGTGGTGGCAGGAGAGAGATGTCTGTGTCCCATGCAGCTGTTCAGAACAAAGTCTCCTCACAACTTGCCCTTTGGCCGGTGGTGGCCACTGTGCAGGTGGAAGCCATGGGTGCATTTTACAACCTTTCTTAAGACTGTCCAGTTACACACTTACTTTCAAACCCCGCTGTAGGCCCTGGAGACCTCCTTCCTGCCTCCTGTCTCTAAATCTGATGCCACTCCAGCCCTAAGTGAGTGTAATCATATAATGTGTGCTGTTTTGTAACTAGTGTGTTTACCTCAGAACAGTGTCCCTGTTTCTCAGCACCATTCAGCAGGTATTGGGATTCCATTCCTGTTGAAGGCTGAGTAATAGTCCACCTCGTGGCTGGACCAGGTTGGATTTATCCACTCAGCCATGACTTCCATATTTTGACTTATAGATATATTGGTGCTAGGAACACAGGCATACAAGTGCCTTTTAACAGCTTTTCATTTCCTTCAGTCATACCTAAGAATTGAATTGCTGGGTCCAATAGCAGTCCTGTAGTTTTCATTTTCTGAGGAGCTGGCCTTCTGTTCTCCACAATTAACAAGGCACTGTCTGTTGCGCACCCAGGCTTGGGGAAACAGAATGGACTAGACTTAGAATCTCCCTTTGGGCCCAAAGCACTGGAAAACTTGGCCTAGAATTTTTCTTGGTCAAAAGGAAAGTTGAGAAAAACCCCATCCAGACTACATCCAGGCAGATGTCATAAAGTTGTGAGCCATAGGCCATTTTTGGACTTTGTCTACCCAAATGGGAAAAGTCCTTTCTTCTTGTTCATTTGTTTTGTTTTGTTTTTGAGGCAGGTCCTCATGTAGCCCAGGCTGGTGTTAATCTCACTATGTAGCTGAGGATGACCTTGAATTCCTGATTCTCCTGTCTCAGCCTCTCCAGTGCTTAGCTGGGAAGTCCCTAGGCAAGGGATGGAGTCTGACAGGTCTGATTTGGTCATTGACGGTGACTACCTTCTGCACGGCTACCTTCTGTCGCTTTTCGCTCCGTGTTCTCATTCATCCCGATTCTATAAACATTTGACTTATTTAACCATCAAGGAGCCTGACTTCCAAGCACTTTGAATATGGCTGCTCTAAATTGAACGATGTGGGAAGAGGGAAACAGGACCAGGCTATGCAGGCTTAGTGTTGAGGAAAAAGGAACATAAAATGCCTTTTTCTGTTTGTTTTTTTGAGACAGGTTCTTACTTTGTAGCCCCAGCTGTCTTAGAACTTGATATGTAGACCAGTCTAGCCTTGAGCTCATAGAGATCCACCTGCCTTTGCACCACCACATCCTGCCTCATTTTTAGTTTTGATTATATGTCTGCATAATGTTTGGTGTGGGGTAATCATTTGTTTTCTATTACTGTAACAAAATCTGAGGCTAAAAATGTCATATAGAGGTCTGTTTAGCTAACAGTTTGGAAAGATATAAGTGTGTGTATGTGTCTTCACACCCGCCCCTCAGCATCACATCATAGCAGGAGAGCACATGAGGAAAGATCACACACTGACAGGAGAAACCAGAACAGAGCTGGTGTGAACTGAAGGCCTAGCACATACTAGGCAGCGGCTCTACATCTGAGCCATGTACCTCGAGGTATCAGGTCGTCAGGGGGTTCAAGGTCATCCTCTGATATAAAACAATTTCCAGGCCAGCCTGGGCTGCATGAGACCCTGTCTCAAAATAAAAGTGCTGTGCTGTTCTGTGTTGTGCTGTGCTGTGCTGTGGTTAGTACCTGGGAACACTTTGCTCCTGTGGGAGTTTGCTTACATGTGATCAATGCCCCCATGCGTGGGTATGAATTTACAGGTTCAAACAGCTTCTTTACATTCATTTGGGGTGTGTGTGTGTGTGCATACATGTACATGCCATGGTGCTCCTGTGGAAGTCAGAGGACAATTTGCCAGACTTATTTCTCTCTTCCTGTCATATGAGTCTTCTGGACCAAACTCCAGTTGTCAGACTTAGCAGCAAGCCCCTTTACCCACTGAGCCATCTCCCCAGCCCCCAGTCAGCATTGAATGGAAAATACCTCTTTGGACAAATTGCATTGATAGTGACTCTTTTCTTGTGATTCTGTGATAGAGTAGCAGCTATTTACATTGCAGTAGGGGTTGAAAGTCATGTAGATTTAAAGTCATCAAGAGGAGAGCTGGGAGAGTGGCTCAGAGGTAGAGGCCCTGCCTAGACTCCTCCAGTGAGGAGCTGGTACATGGCTCAGAGATAGAACCCCTGCCTAGTATGTGCTAGGCCTTCAGTTCATCTCCAGGACTGCATGCAAGGAAGCACCCTACTCAATCAGAGGTACTGAGCCTCCCTAATCCATCCTTACCCTCAGGAGGAGTATCAGAGCGAGGGGATCACATGGCACAACATTGACTACACCGACAATGTGGGCTGCATCCACCTCATCAGCAAAAAGCCCACTGGCCTCTTCTACCTGCTGGATGAGGAGAGCAAGTGAGTGTCCCCGCCCTGCCCACTTGGCCTGTGTGCAAACAGGGGCCTGATCAGCTTCCCTGAGGCTCGCCTGTGTCTGCAGGAGCACATCCTTCTAGAATTCTCAGTGTGGTCTACCCCTGTATCTCAGAGCTGGGCACAGGGTTGGCACGGCAGTGTGAACAATTGTGGCCTGGGCTTTGTATCCCTTGGCACCTGGCTGGGGTGTGCTTGGGAGGTGTCTGTAAGCTACCTGTCTCACTGACCCAGCTGCCCTTATTGAAATCAGGTGACTGCTGGTTAGTTTCCATCTGCACTAAAATGTAACTCTTGTGGTCCTGGAGACCATGGGTCCCAAATGAAGGAACTGGGAGAGTCTTAGTGCCCACCACGACAGGTTCCCATGATGAACAGCAGAAGAGGATCAGAGAGCTATGTGTGGTGACGCACACCTTTAATCCCAGCACTTTGGAGGTGGAGGCAGGAGGATCTCTGTGAGATTAAGGCCAGCCTGGTCTATATAACCAGTTGAGGCCAGCTGGGGCTACAGGAAGACTTTGTCTCAAAAAGACCAAAAATGAGGAGCAAAGTATTCTTTTGGCTCATGGTTCCAGAGGTTTCTCTGTCCATGGTTGCTTGTATTTGCAGTGCTGTAGAACATTATGGTAGGAACATGTGATTGGGGGAGCTGCTCACCATGCAATTGTGCAGTGAAGACAGAGATGTGCAGATGGAAGAAAGGGCAGGCAGAGCACTCGATAGACCCTCGGGCCCAGGTTCCATGCCTAGAGCCTGCTTATTACACCCAGGAGGGTCAGACTCTGTCCCCAGCACCTCAAGAAAAAGAGGAGCAGGCAGGGCACACAGAGGACCTGCAGGCCATAGCATGAGAGCCTGCGAATGCAGCTTTCCTGAGTGTTCAAGGCCCGAACTGCACAGAGGACGACCTTGTTTTGTTCTTTCTCGTTTTCCTTTTTCGTTGGTGTGTGTGCTGTGGGAGTTACCCTTCTACTTAACCATGTGAAACCTGTTGATGGAACTCTGGTGGTCAGTCTTGATCACAAGTCCCTTTGCCTGCTGAGCCATCTTGCCACCCCATTCTTGTTTCCTCAAATAGCATACTGCAGCATTAATAGTTACCTCTTTTTTTTTTTTTTTTTTTTTTTTTTTTTTGGTACCCCAGACGGTATTTTATCCCTAACCCTTCTTCCCAGCTCTCAGTGGTTATATCTTCCTTAGCTGGTCTCCCCACCCACCAGGCTGTGGAGCACCAGGGCTGGACACCTGGCATACACCTGGCACTGCCTGTGTTTGCAGTGGGGTGGGAACCCGCAGGGTGTGCCTAAGCCCAGGGAAGCATTTCCCTCTCTTGAGGCAAAAATAGCCAGGTACAAGGAGCCATTATTCTGCCCTTCTCACCTCTCTCCCAGGGCAGAATAGAACTGGGCTTCATTCCCAAGGCTGGGCTTGCACTCTGTGTTGGGGTGCGGGGTCCAATGCCCTGCCAGGTACACATAGATCCAAGGCTAGAGGCCACTTCTATGTGGGATCATTCTGGAAGTTTCCCAAGTTTACACCTAGGACATTTTGATAGATCCCAGCAAGAACGGGCCCCCTAGACCCTGCTCTGTGATAGCTTTGTGTTCCCCCTCACTTGCCCCTAACAGATGTGTTTAGTAAATGGTGAGAAACTGGCAGGTGGGCTAGTAAGATTGCTCAGCAAGTAGAGGCACAGTGCAGGAGGCCCTGGCTGTCTAGCGGGCTCCTAACAGTCTCTTGACTCTCCCCAGCTTCCCCCATGCCACAAGCCTCACCCTGCTGGCCAAGTTCAAACAACAGCATGAAGAGAACAAGTACTTCCTGGGCACCCCTGTCAGGGAGCCCGCCTTCATCATCCAGCACTTTGCGGGAAAAGTGAAGTACCACATCAAGGTTGGCAGAACCGGCAGTGGTGCCCGTCCTGGGAGGGGGGCCCGCCCAAGTGCACTGTGCCCAGAGTCCCCTGTCACCACCCCTTCTCTTCCTGACTTGGATGAGGGTGTCCGAATGGGCACCAGGACTCAAACCTCAGACCCCAAGGCTCGTCAAACCTAGACTGGCAGAGTGTTGTCACCCAGACTTCACACACTGCCAGCCCCTTCCTACCAGGCCCTGAGGGCTTCTGTGAGTTCCACTGAGTGACCAGCCGCTTCTACCCTGCCAGGACTTCCGGGAGAAAAACATGGACTACATGCGGCCAGATATCGTGGCACTCCTGCGAGGCAGTGACAGCTCCTACGTGCGTGAGCTCATCGGCATGGACCCTGTGGCTGTGTTCCGCTGGGCTGTACTGCGGGCTGCCATCCAGGCCATGGCTGTGCTGAGGGAGGCTGGGCGCCTGCATGCAGAGAAAGCCGAGAAGGCTGCAGGTAGGGACCCAAGGGCTGGGGGATGTGACTCCAGTAGAGCCCCTTCCTAGACTCCCCTTCTTAGGGGCTGGGGGAGTGGCTAAGGGGTATAGCCCATGCCTAGAGTCCCTCAGTGAGGAGCTAGGGGCTGGAGGCATGTCTGAGGGGTCCACCCCATGCCTAGAATCCCTCAGTGAAGGACTAGGATATGACTCAGATGTAGAGCCCCTCCCTAGAATCCCCTAATGAGGGGCTGCAGGCTTTGAGGTAGAATGCTTGACTAGCATGCACAAGGTGTTGGGGTCAGTTCTTAGTTCCACAAAAGAAAAAAAAGAACACCCTCATAGGCTGGGCATGGTGGTGCACGCCTTTAATACCAGCACGGATCTCTGAGTTTGAGGCCATCAAACTCCAGCAACTCCTGTGGCTACAGGGAGACCTTGTCTCAAAAAGACCAAAAAAAGAAAAAAAAACCAAAACACCCTCACAGAAGAGACAAGAGCCTTGTGCTCACTGGAAACCCTCCCAGTGTCCCCTCTTGTGTCCTGAGCAGGTGTAAGCAGTCCTGGCACCCGAAGTCACGTGGGAGAGCTACCAAGAGGTGCCAACACCCCATCGGAAAAACTGTACCGGTGAGCAGTTTATCCTAACCATAGCCTTCCAAGGGTGCTATTGTTAAACCCCTGGGTCACCCCCATTCTCCACTGGGATCCTTGTGGCCATGAATAAACCATCAAGCAGTTGTGTGGGGCATCTTAGCATACAAAGGACACTTTAGATTTGCAGCCTCAGCAGGGTCTGTGCCAGGCTTGACAGAGAGCCCTCCAGCCTGAGGGTGTGGCTCTCCAGTAAAATTCTCACCAAGCCATGGGAAGCCTGACTTTCACCCCAGTGCTGGGAAGTAGGGAATTCTCCTCTGACTTGGTCTGGACACATCAGAGGACCCCACTGAGTTTTTCCTGCACAGGCATGAGATGAGTGTTCTGGACTGAGCACCAGGGCCTCCTCCTTGCCCCAGGGAGAGCCAGGCATGGAGGTGCTGGCCCAATGTGCCAGCTGCTCAGGAGACTAAGGCAGGAGAACTGCAAAATCAAGTCCAGCCTGGACTACAGAGGGAGACCCTGGGTGATCATAAAAAGGTCAGGGATGTGCCTTAGTGCTGTGGATACTTGAGTAGCATGGAGGCCTTGGGATTTGGTCCCAGTGCTGAAGGAAAATGAGGCACTGGGGCCAGTGTGGCACTTAGCGACCATATTGGACAGGTAACCAAAGTATATTCAAAGTCAGGAAAGTGATGCTGCCAGCAATCTCAGAGCCAGCCCAGGCCCCATGGAGAGGGGACCCCTGGAGGCAGGCATGGTGGGGCATCCCCGTCATCCCAGGTATTCAAGAGCCTGAAGCTGGAGGATTGCAGCTTCAAGGCCAGCCTGGGTCACACAGGCTTTTTGAGCCGGACAGCAGCCAAGCAGAGGGGCCCATGTTCCCACTGCAGAGTTGTATGTCTTTCCCCCAAGAGTGCCCGTGGGCACACCTGCAGCACCAGTGCCCTGGCTCAGTCCTGCCTGAGTTCCCTCGGCTTCTCCTTGCAGCTGCTCAGTGCTAGAGCTTTCATTTGACTGCTCTGAGGAGCTGGACATAAACGCTTTTGAGGACATCATGGCTTTCTATGAAAGCAGGAAGTAAGTAGCAGCCAGGGCCTTCGCACGAGACCAGGGAGGCACACCGCAAGGCCACTGCCTGGGGCACTCAGGGCAGCGGCCAAAGCCTGAACAGAGGGGCTTGGTGATCCAGGGCTGCCGGGAACATTCTGCCACATTTGGCCAGGTCAGGGGACACGGGTGGGAGGAAGCCACGGCCACTGCTCCAAGCCTCTGGCCAGGGAGGCTGCGTAGGAAGTGAGGCAGCCATTAACCCTGTGTCACCTGTGTCATTGTTTTGTTCTTGTGCCTCCCTGGAGGGCGAGGGAGTGGAGGTAAGTGTGGCATGCATCCGGGTCCAAGGCATGATGCATGTGTCACAGTGTGGGGCCGCCCATCCGGGTCTTTCAGGCCAACTCTTGGAGCCAAACATGCTTCCAGAATAACTCAAGAAGGGCCAGAAACATGGCTTAGCAGGAAAAGGCACTTGTGCAAACCTAACCACATGTGTTAAATTCCAGCTTGCATGTGGTAGGAGAGAACCAACCCTGCAACTTGTCCTCTGACCTTCACGTGTACACTACAACACGTGCCATGCATACACATAAACACACACATAATACATAAATGTTGAACAACTAGAGTAAGAGCCAGGGTGTGACTCAGCTGCAGAAATGTGCCAGGTATGCACAAGGCCCTAGGTGCTGTCCCAACAAAAACAAACAAACATAGCACAGCAGTTAGGAGTGCTTGCTGCTCCTGCTTGGGACCCAGGTTGAGTACCCAGCACCTTCATCAGGTGACTCACAGCTCCTGTCACTCCAGCTCCAGGGGATCTGGCCTCTACAGGCACTGCAGTCATCCACACATATAACTTATACACATGTGGACAAAACACTCATAAACATGAAACAAGAGTAAACAAATAGATCTTAAGAAAAGGAACAAGCCGAGTGTGGTGGTGCATGCTTTTAGTCCCAGCACTGGGGAGGCAGAGGCAGGCGGATCTCTGTGAGACTGAGGCCAGCCTGGTCTACATAGTGAGTTCCAGGACAGCTGGGGCTACAGGGAGACCCTGTCTCAAAAAAGAAAAAAAATAAGGTTGGCCCTTAAACTGGGAACCCTAACCCTCAATATCGTGCCAATTGTTCTTTGCGGTGGGGTTGGCCCCTGGGTGCCACAGTGTATTGAGCCAATGTCCCTGCCTGCCAGGTGTCACAAATTCCAGTCTCGTAAAAATGACAGTCCCATGACCCATGGTCCCCTGGGGTGGGTAAGCAGCGTGGCTCCCACTGTCAGTCATGGCCTGTGCTTGTTTCACTGCTCACAAGGCCTTTGGGAGACCCCAGGAGGGTCAGGTCTGGCCACAGAAGCCATAGATTAAAAGAGAAATGTAGCTTGCTCCTCCCAGAAGCCTTCTGAGCTGTTTCCAATAGCCCCACTATGTTCTACAGATCCCAGAGGTTCGTAAGTAGAAGACCTGGGTTGGCAAGATGACTGTGAAAAGGCTTGCCACCAAACCCGAGTTGAATCCTTGGGACCCACATAGTGAAAACTGACTCCTGAAAGTGGTCCTCTGACTTCCACACACATGGTGTGACATGCCCCCACATCAAATAAAATGTGGGAGTTTTTTGGGGTGGTTTTTTTTTTGGTCTTTTTGAGACAGGGTCTCTCTGTAGCCTCAGCTGTTTGGAACTCACTATGTAGATCAGGCTGGCCTTGAACTCACAGAGATCCACCAGCCTCTGCCTCCCAAGTGCTGGGATTAAAGGCATGTGCCACCACGCCCGGCTCAAAATGTGTTTTTAAAAACACTTTAACTAGAAGATCCTGGTGCTGGGGAGGTGGCTTAGCAGTTCAGAGCACTTGCTGCAGTATCAGAGGATCCCAGTTTGGATCCCAGCACCCACATCAGGTGACTCACAGTTGCCTGTAACGTCAGCTCAGAGTGTTCCAATGTCCCCTTATGGTCCCTGTAGGCAACTATACATAGACACATAGGCACACATGTACACATACATAAATAAAATAATCTTTTAGACAATACAATACCTTTCCGGATTTCTTGGTTTGTCCTGTTATGAGTCCATGATTACCAGGACTGTAGACTGTACTGTTCCAGCTGAGTCACCTTCTTCATGAAGGGTTCATGAAGTGATCGTGTCCAGCCCATATGCCCCTCCCCCAGATACATGTTTTGGTTCCTGTGGTCTGAGGACACCCTGATGGGCACTGGGGTCCCCAGGTGGTGGGCCACGCTCTAACTCTCCTTCTCTCTGTCACTGGGTCCCCTTTGGCCCCCCAGCGATTTGCATAACCAAATCATCAAGAGCCTCAAAGGACTGCCGTGGCAGGGCGAGGACCCTCGGAGGCTTCTTCAGTCCCTCAGTCGGCTCCAGAAGCCCCGTGCCTTCTTCCTGTGAGTCCCCCAGGCCCCAAGTGCAGCAGCCACCCCTGTCTGTCCTGGCCCTGAAGGCCTGTGCCTTCCTGATGCCACTGACCAGCCACTAAACTCCATGCTGCCTCACAGTTCAGTTGTCATGCCAGCCATCGCTGACCAGCCCTAATGTGCCTGCCAGCCTTCCTGGCTTCTTACAGTGCCCTCTGAGGACACTCCCCTGACCCTGACTGCCCTCTGCAGCCCATTGCCCGTCCTGCCTTTGCCTGCTGTCCCCAGGAGGGTACATGTGGGGCCTGAGGTCTCTGCAAGCTCAGTGCCAACCTACCTACGCTCCACTTGAGTTCTCAGGGTTCAGCTGCCCTCTGCAGCAGGGTGACCATTCCAGAGGGTAGCCTGAGCAGCCGGGTGCCTGCAGTCACCTCCACATGCTGACCAGAATGGCATCCGTGCCCACAGTGGAACCAATGTTTTGGGTGCTTATTCACCCTCAGAGCCAGGGTCTCATTGTATTGCCCAAGCCGGCCTCAGCCCTTGGACTCCAAGGGTGTTCTTCGTGACTGGAGAGATGCTCTTGCAGAGGACCCAGGTTCAGTTCAGCTCCAAGTGAGGGAACTTAAAACAGCTGTAACCCCAGCTCCAGGGGATCTGATGCCCTCTTTTGTACTCTCTAGGCACCTGCACTCATGCATACACACAGACATAGACATGCATCTATTCACAATTAAGAAAATGATCTGGACTGGAGAGATGGCTCAGTGGTTAAGAGCACTGGCTGTTCTTACAGAGGATCCAGGTTCGATTCCCAGCACCCACATGGCGGCTAATGCCCAGTTCCAGGGGATCTGGCGCTATCTTCTGACTCCCTCAGGCATTGCACGACATGGGTGCATTTACACACATGCAGGCAATATACTCATACACATAAAATTTTAAAAATAATCAGAAAAAAAAATAATCTTCAAAGAATCGTCCTGCTTCAGCCCAGGAGCAGCAGGGCCCAGGCAGACACCAGGCCTGCAGAGACAGTTTGCATGTCAGGGTCTCTGCTGCTTCCCTTTACCCCACATGGATTAAGATGCATTCAGGGTCAGGTGTAGCTGAGAGTCAAAGCCCTGGCCACTCCTGAGAGAGACTGTCGGTTCTCTCCAGCACCACAAAGGAAAGATGGACCGAGAGACCTAACAGACTCATGGGCCTGGCCCCACGCAGCTCCAGAATACCTGTCCTTAAGACAATGTTCAGACCAGCAGAACTGTTGTGGGTTTTGTTTCCCACACGGCACCCGGGCATGGTGGCGCTTGCCTGAGTGTATACACAGCATGCAAGAGGTGGAGGCAGGAGGATTGTGAGTTTCAGATCAAGTTATTTCATTTAAAAAAAAAAAAATGTATGTGGTATCGAACTTTCCAGCACTGGATGGTGGAGGCAGGAAGCTTAGAAGTTCAAGGTCATCCTCAGCGACATAGCAAGTACAAGGCCAGCCTGGACTACATGAGATCCTGTCTCAAAAGGAAAAAAAAAAAAAAAGGTTCCACTAAGAGAGAGAGCACTAGGACACTACCTTGGGCCATAGCTGTTTTTTTGTTGTTGTTTTTGTTTTCCACCACCAGAAACCCTAAAACTGGGGCATGGCTCAGAGGCAAAGCGTTTGCTCAGAATGTACAAGGCCCTGGGTACCATTCTCAGCATGGCAAAATAACACAAATGCTATAAAAATAAAGGGAACTTTCTCCAGGCCCCATTTGGATAGTTCTCTTCAGGGCAAATCTCTGGCCTGCCAGTGGAGAATTCTAGAAGGAATGCCGTGGGCCTGTTTGGCATAGCGTGCTGTGCTCAACTTGTTTTTATTCTTTTACTGCCACATAGTAGGCCCTGTAACCTCCAGTGCATTCCTCCAGTTTGTTGCAGGAATCCTGCTCCTCAGGTGTGGCAAAGCCTGTGGGATGGAAGGAGGAGCCTGCGGGGTCTCTGGGGAGTCGGTGGCAGCCTGTCTGCATTTGTGTGTCTTCTATCCACACTCCTCTCTCTCTTTCACTCTCTCGATCTAACCTGCAAGGCTTGATGAACTAACCCAACTCCCAGCCCTGTGTTCCTCATGTTCACGCAACCATTTTTTAATATTTTGACAGGAAGAGTAAAGGTATCAAACAAAAGCAGATCATCCCCAAGGTAAAGCCCGCAACTGTGCTCCAAGACCACTCGGTTCTCAGCCTGGCTTGAGAGCGCCCTTCTCAAGCCATCTGACGTGGGGAGGTGGGAAAGACACACCCCTTCAAAGCCTGGGACGTCTTCATTCCTTCCTCTCATCCCACCATCCAACTCTCCCTCTAAAGCAAAATTTTATTAGGCTAGGGGCGCTATACCCCTGCCTAGAACCCCCCAGTAAAGGACTGGGGGCATGGCTCAGAGTTAGACCTCCTGCCTAGAACCCATGAAGGACGAGGGGCCATAACTAAAGAGTTGTGATGGCACACACCTTTAGTCCCAGCACTTGGGAGGCAGAGGCAGGCAGATCTCGTTGAGTTCAAGGCCATCCAGGTCTACATAGTGAGATCAAGCTAGCTACAGGGAGACCCTGTCTCAATAAGACCAAAAAAAGTCAGTTGATACTGTATCAGTTGTAATCGTGTGTGAGAGTTAAAGTTCCATGCCCAGGAAGTATGAGATAGGCCAGGTGAGAGGGCTCAACAGGTGGAGGCACTTGTCACCAAGCCTGATGCCCTCATTTCCAATCCCCTGTACCCGCATGGTCAAAGGAGAGAACTGGCTTCTGCAAGTTGTCCTCTGACCTCCACATGTGCACACATGCACATGAATGAATGAATGAATGAATGAACGAACGAACGAACGAACGAACGAACAAATATGCTTTTTAAGTGTGAGATTGGCCTGGCATGGTGGTGCACACCTGCCATTCCTTTAGGGAAGCTGAGGCAGAAGGATTTTGAGTTCTAGACTAGCCTAGGCTACATAACAAGACTGTCTCCAGAAATAAAAAAAAATAAAATCCAGGCATAGTGACATCCCTGTTGTCCAAGTATATGGAGGTTGAGACAGGAGAATTAGGAGTTCAAGGTCAGCCTTGGCTACATAGTGAATTACAGGCCATCTCTTAAAGAAAAAAATCATGCAGATTGAATTTTGAATTGGGGATACTCTACCAGCATTTTCAGTCAGGTGTGTGGGGTCTGCAGCCTCTGGAACCTGCAGGGTATAGACAGATTCTGGAGTTCATAGATACCCTAGACAAGCCCCTCAGTTTGATCCATACACAGGGTAGGCATGGTGCCCACTGCCTGCACCAGCTCAGGTTGGCACAGGAATGACTGGTTTCCTGAGTCTTCCACAGGGGCTATGCAGAGGGAGGATGACTGCAGCTCAGCAGGAGAGGAGAGGAGGGAAGAGGGCATGGCAGGTGCTGATGGTCCCCAGGCAGTCCTCCGTCCTGGGGTCCAGCACTCTCTGTAAGCCAAAGGCATTTGTGCCCATGAGCTGTGGAGGGCAGACCAGACCCTGCATATGTTCCTAGAACCTGCTGGACTGCAAGTCCCTGAAGCTTATCATCAGCATGACCCTGCACGACCGCACCACCAAGTCACTGCTGCACTTGCACAAGAAGAAGAAGCCGCCCAGCATCAGCGCGCAGTTTCAGGTCAGTGCATCCTGCTTCCTCACCAGTCTGCACCCCAAAGCCCTTACATACATCTGAAGTGTCTGGTGTTACGGTGACAGCCACATACCTCCCTTGGAGTGAAATCACCTTGGCTGAGAGCCATGAAGACTAGAGAGTTATATCGTGGGTCTCAGAACGGCCCTTGAGCCACGTCCTGACAACCTGACATATTTCTTTTTTCTCTGGTTACCAGGAAGCTCATTTATATTTTGAGACAAAGTTCATGTAGCCCAAGTTAGCCTTCGGTTCTCAGTCATCTTCCTGACTTGTGTCTCAGTGTGACCTACCATACCTTACTAAAACTTTTATATCTATATACTTGGGTTAGAACTAAGGCCTTTCTGGTGATCTATCTACACAGTCCTTTCAAATCCTTTTGGAGAAGAGCAAGCAGACTGAGGTGGTAGCTTCTGGTAGACCACTTGTCCAGCATGTGTGAGGCCTCGAGTTCAAACACTAGCCTGCAAAAACAAAATGAGAGAAGAAATGTCAGGCAAGAGGGCAGACCTAGCTACCTAGCTCCACACTCCTCTGTGCTCCCTTCTAACACATGCACATCCTCAGACCACCTGGTCTTGCCTGGCGGCTCCACCTTCCACTTGAGGCAAAGACACAGCTGGGTAGCCCAGGAAAGAGGCTTTGGTCAGCTCCCTCCATATGTGACCCATGTAAGCTCAGATGTGCACCCCCACACTCCAGCAGGTGTTGGGTCTCCTCCCACTGAGCCCTGCACTCCTCACGCACATCTACATTCTCTCCCTCTGCAGACATCGCTTAACAAGCTGTTGGAGGCCCTGGGCAAGGCTGAGCCCTTCTTCATTCGCTGCATCCGCTCTAATGCTGAGAAGGTGGGTGATCTTCAGAGTGGGGCAGAGGCTCTACAGGACCCCACAGCCCCTACGAAGGACCAGGGACAGGGCTGGACCACTGGGGTTAGGTGCTAGGAAAGCCACAAGCTGGGCCTGGGGCTCAGTTGGTCCAGGGCTTCCTGAATGTGCACAAAGCCCTGGGTTTCAGCCTAGCACTACATAAAGCAAGTGGGGTATTGCACACCCATCATCCCAACACTTGGAAGGATGATCAGGAGTTCAACGTTATCCTTGGTTACAGAGTTAAGGGTAGCCTGGGCTACATGAGTACCTCAGAAAAAGTTGGGGCAGGAAGAGTTCCATCCTCCAGGGTGCCTGGCTGCTGTGCTGGCTACCACCTTGCAAACCTGCCCTGAACAGTCCATACTAGAGTTGGGGATACTGACTCTCTCAGGGGATGGGGCTCTGTACCCCAGCTCAGCCATGTCCCCTGACTGCTCACTGCCTCTGCAGAGGGAACTGTGCTTTGATGAGGAGCTGGTGCTGCAGCAACTGCGCTATACGGGCATGCTGGAGACAGTGCGCATCCGGCGCTCTGGCTATAGTGCCAAGTACACCTTCCAGGTAGGCTGCTCTGGGTTATCCCATCATCTTGCCATGGCTACCAGGACTGTCACTCAGCTGTGGGGGACGAGGTTGCCCCAAGCCAATTCTGGAAAGATTCAGGAGGGGAAACTGAGGTAGGAAGTTACAGGCACGCTTTAACAGGTGTCTTTTAGGGCTGATGCTTTTATTTTGGGTTTTGTTCAGTGATTTACGTGTATTTATTTTGTTTATGTGTGGGCACAGATGCCACAGGGGTGTGTGGAGGTCAGAGGACTATTAACAATAGTCAGTTCTCTGCACCATGTGGGCTTCAGGAATTTAACTCAGGTTGTCAGCTTGGTGGCAAGTGCCTTTACCCACTGAGCCATCTCACAGGGTCCAATATAGTGGTCTGTACAGTGTTGTGATAGTTCTCCATGGTGCCCAGAACCCGGCAGAGGCAGGTCCCACTCAAAAGCCTCCATTTACTTAAAAGACATACATTATAGGGCATGGTTGCTTACACCTATCATGTCAGCATTCAGGAGACTCAGGCAGGAGGATTGCTACAAGTTCACAACCACCTTGGGCTAGAAAATGAGACTATCTTGGGGCTGGAGAGATGGCTCAGCAGTTAAAAACACTGGTTGTTCTTGCAGAAGACCCAGGTTCAAATCCCAGCACCCACATGGCAGCCAACAACTGTCCATAACTCTAGTCCCAGGGGATCCGACAGCCTCTTCTGACCTCTGCGGGCATTGCATGACATGGGTGCACTTACCTATCTTTTTGAGACAGGGTCTCCCTGTAGCCCAAGCTGTCCTGGAACTCAGTACGTAGACCAAGCTGGCCTTGAACTCACAGAGATCCGCCTGCCTCTGCCTCCCAGGTGCTGGAATTAAAGGCTTGTGCCACCACGCCTGGCTATAAATAAAAATTTTTTTTAAAAGCTAAAAATAAAAATAACAGTCGGGCGTGGTTGCACACGTCTTTAATCCCAGCGCCTTTAATCCCAGCACTTGGGAGGCAGAGGAAGGCTGATCTCTCTTGAGTTCCAAGCCAGCCTGGTCTCCATAGCAAATCCAGGCCAGCTGCCTGCCAGACAGGGAGACCCTGTCTCAAAAAGAACAAAACAAAAAACAACTTCAAAGAAAAAGAACATGAGACTGTCTCAGACTGCCCCTGAAGAAGACATACAGGCTGGGGGTGTCAAATTCAGTGGTACAGCACTTGTGTGAGCCCTGGGTTCCCCAGCACCCCAGCAAAACACAAAGCCATATCTCCAGCCACAGCCCAGCCCTGCAGTGAGCCAGACCAGGGGCGTCGTGCTGGCATTCCACCAACTAAAGTACTAAGGCCAGGCAGGGCTGCGGAGATGACGCAGGGCTTAGTGCTAGAGTTCAGATCACTAGAACCCACATGTACCCTGGGTGGGCATGATGCTTAACTGTAACTCTGGCCTCAGAAAGTGGAGGTGATCTCCAGAGCAAGCTGATTAGCTGTATCAGGGAGAGATCTGGGTTTGACTGAGAGACCCTGCCTCCAAGAGTTAAGGTGGAAGAGGATTCTGGACAGTAACATCAGCCTCCATGTGCACTTAATTCCACACCCCCACACACAAGAAAGTGGAGAAAGGAAAAAGAATCAAATGAAATACCCTGTACTGTGCCTGCACTGGGATTTGCAGGGCTTGCCTGTCTCGGACCCTTCACAGTTCTATTTTTTAGCTTTTTTGTGTCCAAGCTCTCACAGCAGAGTTGCTGTGGTTACATGTCCACAACTTTCAGTGAATACCAGTCACAGAAAGCCGTTTCAGTACTGGAGAGATGACTCAGCCAATAAATGCACTTGCTGCTCTTGCAGAGGATCCAAGTTCAGTTCCCAGCACTCACATGGCATGTCACAGCCACCTATAACTCCATGTGTCTGGTGCCTCCCGGCCTGCATGTGCATCTGCACTCATGTAGTATGCAGACTGTCACATAGACACACATAAATAAAAGTAAAATATTTTTTAAAATTTAAAAGAAACAAGTTTGGGTTCAAAAGCTAAGTTTGGGGCTGGAGGTGGGGCTAAGTCCAAGCACACTGGGGCCCAGGTCCCATCCCAGCCTGGCTGAGCACACACAGTCCTTGGGCTCTGACTCCAGGAAGTCTTACCAGCACTCAGGAAGAAGAGGGAGGCAGGTCCCTGTGAGATTGAGGCCATCCTGGTCTACACACAGAGTTCCAGGCCATTCAGAGCTGCACAGGACCTAAGCAGGAGATGACCACAGGTGCTGGGGTGCTCACTCACATGGCTCTGCTTTCCCACCCAATCCCAGGACTTCACGGAGCAGTTCCAGGTGCTGCTGCCCAAGGACACCCGGCCCTGCAGGGAGGCCATCTCTGCCCTGCTGGAGAAGATGCAGGTGGACAGGAGGAGCTATCAAATCGGGAAAACCAAGGTCAGTCTACCATTTCTGAGGCTGCTGCCACCTGCCCAGACCTAGCCTTCTACCTAGTCTTCTACCCATGCAGCACCCCTGCTCACCTCCTTCCCCTAGCTTCCCCACACCATGGCTCTGTACAGTGAAACATTGTTTCTCTTGCTGGGCTCTGGTGGGACTCACAGTGGACATGGTCAGAACAGGAGTGTGTGAGAAGGATCATAGCAAGACAGGAAGCTGGGGAGAGGTCCAGGTACCAGGCCAGCTCTTTCATAATCTCCTGGTCTATAGAGAAGAGGCAGGTCCCTGGAGAACTATGTGAACCCCTTCCAGGGGCAGACCCTGGGGACCTGGCCTTCCCCTATGCCCCACCTCTGGCAAGTCCCAGAAACCCATAGTCACCAATGGGGTCCAAGCTTCCAACACAACCTTCCAGAGACACATGCAGGCATAGGATAGCAGGTGTCCTGCCATTGGCTCCCCTTCCAAACACCAACTCCAGTCTGAAAGTGAGTGTGTGTGTATGTATCTCACCTGTTTTGAACATTACTTGCCTGCTTTGTTGAACAGCTGCAAGGTTGGGCTCCTGAGATGCCCCTGCAGCAGAAATCCCCACAGCTCCTCAGGAAGTCAGCCCTAGAGTAAGTCTCCCTATAACCTGGCACTTCCACTCTTGGCTGTGTACCCGAGACATCTGAAATCAGATACTCGCACAAACACTTGCACACTGAGTTCAGAGCATTGCTAGTCGGGATGGTAAAAAAGTGGGCACAGGTGCTGGGCATGGTGACACAAACTTTTTTTTTTTTGTCTTTTTGAGACAGGGTCTCCCTGTAGACCCAGCTGGCCTGGAACTCACTATATAGACCAGGCTGACCTGGAACTCACAGAGATCCACCTGCCTCTGCCTCCTGAGTGCTGGGACTAAAGGTGTGCTCCACCATGCCCAGCTGTGACACAAACTTTTAATCCCAGTAACTCAGTAATCCCTCTCACAAAGAGGTAGGTGGATCTTTGTGAGATCGAGGTCCACCTGGTGCATAGTGAGTCCAGGGCAGCTAGGGCTACAGAGACCCTGTCTCAAAAAAAACAAGATGGAGAGCAACAGAGAAAAACAGCTGGTGTCAACTTCTGATCTCCACAGGCACATACACAGGTGGGCACACCCTCAAGTACATGCATACACACACAGGGCGGTGAGTTCTATGCCATTATATTAAAAAAACCTGTGCATGTTGGCGCACACCCACAATCTCAGCCATCAAGAGGTAGAGGCTGAGGGTCAGAGGTTTAGGACCAACATTGGCTACATCAGGGGTTAATGGCCAGCCTGGGGTACACAAGAATCTATCTTGAAAAAGCAGTATGACTTCTATACAAATGAAATAAATTTTAATAATAGTCATAATAATAGTGGGTCAATGAGGCTGCAGCTGAGTCTCATAGCTGGCAGCCCTGGAGTCACATGCTGATTCCACCATGCACTCACAGGTCTTCCTGAAGGAAACAGAGCGGCAGGCCCTGCAGGAGACACTGCACCGTGAGGTCCTGCACAAGATCCTGCTTCTGCAGAGCTGGTTCCGGATGGTGCTGGAGCGCCGGCACTTCCTGCAGATGAAACGCGCAGCCCTTACCATCCAGGCCTGTTGGAGGTCCTACTGTGTGCGCCGTGCACTAGAGAGGACGCAGGCTGCTGTGTACCTGCAGGCAGTGTGGAGGGGCTTCCTGCAGCGCCAGGCCTACCGCCGCCAGAGGCACAGCATTATCCGCCTGCAAAGCCTCTGCCGGGGCCACCTGCAACGCAGGAGGTGAGTGCAGTAGGGACCGCCTCCCTGGAACATTCTGGAGTCCTGGAGGGTTACTCACTGAAGAACTGCCAGGAATAGCTAGCACCCTGCCATGAGAACTATTAGAACCTCCTTCAGGGTGCAGGGAGGATCTGACCAGAAAGAAGCCATGCAGCCACAGAGCTGTAAGTTGTTCCCATCTATAAGGATTGAGCTTCAGGTTGTGTGGCCATTGCCCACTCCTGGTCTGTGCCAGGAACCTCCCTCTACCTGCCCACTGGGAGCACTTGCTGTAGAGGTGGAGGAGGAGCAGCTGGGATCAACTCAGTATGGCTCTCTCCTGTTTACTCAGCACAGGTCTCTACTCTGCTTACCAGCAGGCCATCTCCTACTAAGGTGAACAATGGCTGGGTCTCTGCTCCTCTGATCCCTGCCCTCTCCCATCCTCTGTGCCACACACATAAGCCCCACCCCTCAGCCTCAGGTTGGGGTCCCAGCTCCTGGTGCAAAACATTTTTTTTAGGGGCCAGCAAGATGGGTGCTTGTGGCCAAGCCTGATCTGAATTTGATCCCTGGGACCTACATAATGAAGGGAAAGAACCAGTTCTTGCTGCAAGTTGTCCTCTGACGTCCACATCACACACACGCACACATGCACACACACTAAATGTTAAAAGTGGAAAGTGTGTGCTTGGCAAGTATTCTACTACATCAGCTCTGAGGTTGAAAAAAAGACCCAGTGGTTCTCCTGCTGACGGAGCCCACCAAGCTGACCCAGGGTGGGGTTGTTCATGGAAATGACTTGGAGAGAACCATCTATACCCACTTCATGCTGGAGGAAGTCAGCCCGTTTCAGGAATGCCTCTGAATTCCTCACCCTTTGGTGGCACAGATGGGGGAGGGATCTGAATGGACCTCAGCCTTTTAACTCTGGAAGGCCACACTGATGTCCACTTCCGTCCTAATATCCCACTTTTTCCTCTGGCCAGCTTCAGCCGGATGCTGTCCCATAAGCAGAAGGCAGAGGAGCAAGCCAGGGCAGCCCAGGAAGCAGGTAGAGCAGAGTCATCCAAGGGCAGCTTAGGCCCTGTGGCCACAGAGGAGCAGGTGGCTGCACAGACCGCCCAACCTGGGGAGGATGGCCAATGCCCAGCTGAGAAGAACGGGACCTGGACGAAGGACAGATCTCCAGTTGGCACCTCCCCCCTGAAGAAGGAGGTGCCTGGCCCTGAGAATCTACCCTTGACCCAGGGAACCGTGCCGGCTGAGAGTCAGGAGAAAGTCCCCAGCAGCCGGGGGAAGCGTGAGTCACGGCGGCAGCGAGGGCTGGAGCATGTGCAGCTGCAGAACAGACACATTCAGTCCTGCAGGGAGATCACCCTTAGAGAATCTTCCAGAAGGGCCAGCCTAGAACCAGGGAAGAGTGTCCCCGAGGACAAAAAGGAGCACAGAGAAGATGAACTGCCCCTGGAGGCTTGGACTGAGGGCATGGCCGCCTTTCCCAAAAAGCATGTGCAACTTGTTGGGGCCACTGAGGACAAGGTATCCCCGGCCAGGAGCCCCAGGCCTGGCCCCATTCAGCGGCCCACCAGCCTGGCCCTGGACAATAGGGTCAGCCCAGGGGTCCCCAGCACCCCTGAGTCCCCTGGGGATAAAGGCAGGGCTGGGGACAGCCCCAGAGCTCAGGACAAGCTGGAGAGCCCCAGTGGACCTACCCAGATCCAACGGTACCAGCATCCAGATGCTGAGCGCCTGGCCACCGCCGTGGAGCTCTGGCGGGGCAAGAAGCTGATGACCACCAGCAGCTCCAGCACCATGCTGAGCCAATCCCTGGACCTCAGCGACAGGCAGCGGGTTGCAGGGGCTGCCCTTACTCCAACAGAGTAAGCACCCCCACCCCCGGTGCAGAGCTGAGGATCTGTGGTGGGCACTAGGGCAGCTCACTGGAGCCATAAAAACAGGCATGACCATGCCAGCCAGGAAAGTCCAAGCCCCATAGAGCATAGAACAAAGGCCTGGAGAAAAAGAGGCCCCGGGCTGGAATAAGGTCCTGTGCTGAGTTTGCTAGGCACACAAGGCCCTGGCCCAACCCCAGTATTGCAAAAAGAAATCAAATGCACCTTCCCAGGATACCCAGTGAACCCTGAGACCCAGGGATGCCCAAAACAGCAGACTTAGCTCCTGTGTGAGGACCAGGACCCCGCAAGTAGAGGTTCCCCCTCTCTGAGCCTCAGTTTCTCCATCATTGAGGGGGTTTGGATCTGACATGTCAGGGACCCAGCCTTTAGCCCCTGGAGGCTCAATGCTGGGCAGAAAAGGAGAGCCAGAAGGCAGGGAGGCAGGCTGCCCTTGGGGTTCAGCTGTGGCACTGCCAGGTTGAGGCCAGAGAGTTGGCTGTTGGGGGTACCCTTTGTCAGAATGTGGAACAGCAACACTGTCCTCCACCCACCAGATGGCAATAGCCTGACAGGTAGATAGATGGTGGATGGATGAATGCTAGAGAGGTAAGTAAATGATAGAATGATGAATAAGTAGATCTGATGTGGGCAGGTAGCGAGATGATGGATGGAATAGATAGAAAGATGGCAGAATACATGAGTTGGTGGGTGGAAGGAATGTTTTATAATCCTCTGTCATATCTGTCTGTTCCCTGTGAATACTTGCTGGGGCATGCCCTCCCCACCCCCAGCAGAAATTCACTGGGTTAAGAGCCCTCTGCATGGGTGCTGGTCAGTAATAATGAATTCCACTGTCTTACAGGGAGAGGTGCATCTCCTCCTCCACAAGTGACATCTCCAAGCTGTCCCCAGCCAAGGTAAAGCCCAGCCCTGACCCAGCTCCCTCCAGAGAGGAGTTGCTGCTTAGCCAGACTGCAGCACATCTGTCATCCCAGCATTCAGGAGGTGGGGGCAAGAGGTTCTTCATACAGACTGGCCTCAGCTACCTAGCAAGTTCAAGAGCAGCCTGATATCCTCTCTCAAAATAAGGGGCTAGAGAGATGGCTCAGTGCTTAAGAGCACTTGCTGCTCTTGCAGACGACCTGAGTTCAGTTCCCAGCTCACAAGCAGCAGTAGCCAACTCTGGGGGATCTGATGCCTCTGGTCTCTGAAGGCATCTGCACTCATGAGCACAAATCCACACACAGACAAATAATTTCATATTTAAAAATAAGAGGCTGGGGCCTGGAGAGATGGCTCAGTAGTTAAGAACACTGGTTGTAGCTGGGCGTGGTGGTGCATGCCTTTAATCCCAGCACTTGGGAGGCAGAGGCAGGTGGATCTGTGAGTTCAAGGCCGGCCTTGTCTACATAGTGAGTTCCAGGACAGCTGGGGCTACAGGGAAACCCTGTCTCAAAAAGACCAAAAAAAAAAAAAGTTGGTGGGGGGGACTGATTGTTCTTGCAGAAGACCCGGGTTCGAATCCCAGCACCCACATGGCAGCTAACAACTGTCTGTAACTCCAGTTCCAGGGAAATCCAATGCCCTCTTCTGACTGTGGGCATTGTACAACACAGGTGCACTTACACGCAGGCAATACACTCATACACATGATATTAAAAATGAAATCTTTTAAAAAAGAAGAAAAGATCAGGCATGGTGGCGCACAGCACTCAGAAAGCAGACGCAGGTGGATCTCTGTGAGATTGAGGCTATTGTGATCTACATAGTGAGTTCCAGGTCATCAGGATACAAGAAAGAGAAAGCTACAAAACTGAGTGGGGCTGGTGGGCGGGGCATGCCTTTCTAGGGATAGCCTCTGCCGGTAGCTCTCTCACTGGCCTTCTCCCTGCAGACTTCAGCAGAAATTGATGGGGATCCAAGCACCAAGAAACCTGCCATCCACAAGAAGAAATCAGGAGATGCGTCATCTGGCCCCGACATGGGGCTGTCCCCCAGCTCCCAGGGTGACTCAAAGTAAGAAGTTGGGAAACCTGGCTCTACAGAGGGTTCCAGGGCCAGCTGCAGCAGGCTCCTCCAAGTCAGTGCATTTATGGGGCACAGTAGGATACCTACCCACTGACCCTGCCACCTAGAATACAGGGTAGCCAGTCATTGTAAAATGACTGTCAGGGATCCTTGAGCCAGGCCAGAGGGTGGTCACAGATTGATATGGGGTGCCTTTCTCTGTGGCTCTTGTCTTATTTTTGAGACTCTCACTGATGTGAAGCTTACTGGTTTAGCTAGGCTAAGGCCAGGGAGCTCCAGGAATCTGCCTGTCCCTGCCCCACCCCTCAGCAGTAGGGTTACCAAGTGTGCACCCCTGAACCTGGCTCTTACATAGATGCTGAAGAGCTTGGATTCTCATGCTTGCACAGCAGGAACTTCACCACTGAGCCTTCTGTTACCTCCTTTTCCTTTTAATAGGAAAAGGCCAGACATAGTGGGTGTACCTGTGATCCCAGCTGTGAAGAGGCTGAAGCAGGAGGATAACTACCTAGAAGCAGTCCTGGGCTACATAGACCCAGTCTCAAAACCAAAACACAAAAAATAAAACCACCTCTTCCCCCTAACTGGGTCTGAGAGAGCCTGTGCTCAGAGAGCCTTGCCAGAAAGTTCTAGAATGGTTCTATAGATGAGAATTGTCTGTGAAACAGGAGTTTCTGTTCCAACACATGGCAGGTGACAGGGAGGTCCCTGCTGCCAAGAGACTCCCAGCCTCAGAAAGTACCAGAACTCGTAGGCATTGATACCTCACGTGCTGGTACTGCAAATCAAAATCCATATTAACAGCCGAGCTCCGTCCCAGGCTATTCCTCCTGGCCTGCTCGAGCTTTGGGGACTCCAGGCAGTTCTGGCTTGTGGACAAATAACTTTCATCCTGCCTCCATCTTCATGGGGCCAGTCCTGTGTCATCTCTCCTAGATCTCTTATTTATTAGTGCTGGGAATGGAATCCAGGGCCTTGCACATACTAGGCAGGCACTCTACCCTGAGCTATGTTTCCAGCCCCTCACTGGGGAAGACGATCAATGATCAGGACTTCAAGGCCAATCTGGGCTACATGAGACTCTTATCTTTTTTAAAAAAAAAAAAAAAAAAAAAAATGTGGATTTGGAGATATGCGTCAGCAGTAAAAGCACTTGGTGCTCTTATAGAGGATCTGAGTTCAGTTCCCAGCACCTGTACAACTCACAACTGACTGTAACTTCAGCTCCAGAGAATCTGACACCCTCTTTTGTCTTTTGCTGGCACCTGCACTCCCATGGCACATGCTTATACAGACAGACACACACACACACACACAAATTTAAAAAGAAATAGCTGGACATGTTGGTGCATGTCTTTGATTCCAGCACTCAGGAGGCAGAAAGGCAGATCTCTGAGTTCAAGGCCAGCCTGGTCTACATAGTAAGTTCTAGGCCAACCAAATTCCAGGCTACACAATGAGACCCTATCTCAAAAAAAACTTAGAGGATGGAAAAATGACTCTGGTTAAGAGCACTGATTGCTCTTGCACAGGACCCAGGTTCAATTCCTAGCACCCACATGGTGGATGGTGGCTATGAACTGTTCTTAACTTCAATTCCAGGAGAATCTGATGCCCTCTTCTGACTTCCGAGGCATTATATGACATGGTGCACTCACATATATGCAGGCAGTACACTCATACACATAAAATAAAAAATAAAAAAAACTTAGAAACCTCTCTCTCCTGCAGATCCACGTTTAAGAGGCTCTTCCTACACAAAACCAAGGATAAAAAGCCCAGCCTGGAGGGTGTGGAGGACATGGACAGCAGCCTGCCCAGCCACACTATGCCAGAAGCCCCTACCACCAAAAAGAGTCTAGAAGGTTGGTCCCACATAGCCTCAGGAATGAGCTGCTTTCCCAGCTGTGTCCACAGCTTTGACTGGCCCCCATGGGCCTTGAGTCTGAGCCCCAGACATGGGACTTGAGGCCATCCATCCAGGCATGCAGTCTAGAGTCCTGGTCCTATGCATTTCTGACCCTGCCTCATGACTGCTGTGGGTTTCCCACAGCACCCTCTGGCCATCAGCACCGCCACAGCGCAGGAGAGAAGCCCACCAAAGGGAAGAAGAACCGGAACCTCAAGATTGGCAAGATCACCGTGTCTGAGAAGTGGCGGGAGTCAGTGTTCCGTAAGATAACCAATGCCAACGAACTCAAGTACCTGGATGAGTTCCTGCTCAACAAGGTGAGCTTCGGGGCCCCTTGCCAGGAAGCACTAGGCAGGGGCAAAATCCAAGCCCTCCAGGAGTTTTACTGCCCTTAGCAAACCAGAAGTGTAACCTGCTGTAATCCCAGCACTCAGGAGGATGGTGAGCTCAAGATTAAGCCACACAGTTAGATCCTTCCTTCCTTCCTTCCTTCCTTCCTTCCTTCCTTCCTTCCTTCCTTCCTTCCTTCCCTCTCTCTCCCCCCCCCACCCCTTTCTCTCTCTCTCAGAGAGAGAAAGAGAGAGAGAGAGAAAGAGAAAGAGAAAACCAGGACCAACAAGAGGGTTCAGTGAGTAAACGCACTTGCAGCTGAGCCTGACAACCTGAGTTCAGTCCCTGGGACCTACATGATGGAAGGAGAGAACTTTCTCAGTCCAAATAAATGTGTTTATAACAAAATCTTAGTCTTGTTTCTGAATGAGGTTCCCAAGCCCATCCTGTGCCTAAGGGCTTTGAGCAAGGCACCATAGTGTTACAGTAGGAGTGTGTGCAGAGTAAGGTTGTCTTTGAAGCACATGTGCAGATCTGTGCTACGCACATCCTGCAGCTGATGTCGCTCCAAAGGCCTGAAGTCCACGATTAGAGACAGGCCTTGGGAGACTGAGGCAGGAGGATCACAAATTCCTGGCCAGCCTGGGTTACGCAGTGACACTCTGCCTAACTATGAAGGGTTGGAGTGTAGATAACTGGTCCTATATCTGTGTGATGTGCCTGAGGGCCCTGGGTTGCTTCCCCAGCATCATTAAAAAAAAAAACAACAGAAACCCATACCCAAAACTCTGTCTTGTAACAGTTTTGAAACATGATCGATTCCTACTAGCCATCATAGCCCTGCTGTGTAGCAGACAGTACAAAATTCTTCCTCAGTTAACAGGCTGAGTGCCCATGGCCCAGCTTCTCCCCAGCTTCCTTGCTCTGTTCAGTTTTCTAGATGCATAGGGTCTCACTGCCGACAGATGAATCACCCAGTGTAGTGGCAGAGCTGGAGATGAGCCAGTCTGGGGTTTCCAGGCAGGCAGAACTGCAATCCGGTGTGTCACAGGGTCAGAGTAAGCCAATAGGATACCAGAATCAGGAGTTGCTGCCCGAGAGACAGCATAGGGATGATTAAGCCCTTGAGGTGGCACAGTCCTGGGGTGTGGCTGGGCAGGTGACCCATAGGATGGGGTGGGAAGGGCCTAGCTAACCTTGTAGCTGCTGTCAGGTATGATGTGATGACCTAAGACAGCAGCAGCCAGGCACTGCACTGTATAGGCCAGTGACAGCCCTTCTTTCCCCATAGATAAATGACCTGCGCTCCCAGAAGACACCCATCGAGAGCCTGTTCATTGAGGCCACGGAGAAGTTCAGGAGCAACATTAAGACCATGTACTCTGTCCCTGTATGTGAAGCCTTGCTCTCAGCTCCCATGCCCTCCCCAGGCCAGACCCCACTCCTGCACAGCCCCTGTCCTGGGCTGTGGGGGACCCCTTCACATGTCCCTGCAGAACGGGAAGATCCATGTGGGCTACAAGGACCTGATGGAAAACTACCAGATCGTTGTCAACAACCTGGCCAGCGAGCGCGGAGAGAAGGATACCAACCTGGTCCTCAACGTCTTCCAGTCACTGCTGGACGAGTTCACCCGCAGCTACACCAAGAGTGACTTTGAACCTGCCAAGGTAGGAAGCTGGACCTGCCACCACTAAACCCATATGCCCATGCCATACCCATACCCTCCTAACCCCCCTCACCTGTCAAACCCAAGCCCCTCACACCCATCACACCCACATCCTCTTATCTGACCCTGCCAGCATCTCCCTGGCTTTCTTCTTCCTGATACCCTGGATGTGCACAGCTCCCTCATCACCCTGGCCAGTCTTCCTCTACTTGAATCCCCCAGATCTTCACCAGCCCCAGCACCCAACAGCTTCTCAGCTTCTCTTCTGCTTTGGGCGTTTTCCACTTGAGCAGATGAGAGGGTCACGGTGCATAAGGCCCCACATTTGTGGGGACCAGGGTGTTCCTGTGTCCCACACAGGCTTTGTCTGTCTCTCAGCAGAGCAAAGCTCAGAAGAAGAAGCGGAAGCAGGAACGTGCTGTGAGTAGTCATGCACGTGTTCAGATTGTGCACACGCACATCCTTAATGGGTTCACCTATACCTGTGTGTGTAGCACTTACCCGAGCCTCAGGGTCCTGGCATGGGGCAGACCCACTTCTGAGACATCACTGGGGGCAGGGCACCCACTCAGGACCCCCCCCCCCCGCTTCTGCCCCAGGTCCAGGAGCACAACGGGCATGTGTTCGCCAGCTACCAGGTGAGCATCCCGCAGTCATGTGAGCAGTGTCTTTCCTACATCTGGCTCATGGACAAAGCCCTGCTGTGCAGCGGTGAGCAACCTGCCCCGCCCCAGCATCTCCTCAGCCTCATCCCTCCACCCTTCAGTTCCACTGTTTACATCCTCTACCACCCTCCACATCCTCATGTCCTCCACCCCTCCAGTCTTCCACCCTCCACTGTCTCCACTCTCCAGTCTTCTACCCTCTAATCCTCCACTTTCCACATCCTCCCGAGGCAGAGCTCACCAGCTGGCTGCTCCCCACCCACATCACACATAAGTTCATCCATGTGGGTCAGTTCTGTGAGCCCTGTTCTGCACATTGGTGCATGATGCTCCAGCCTCAACCGTCACTCCCTCCAGGTGTCTCATGGCCAGCCTGTTATTCCTCTGAGGAACAGGCACAGCCCAGAGCTAGGTGGTCACATAGTCAGGAGTTGGCCAAGCCAGGCCCAGCCAGCCTTCTGCCTTGGTAACATGGGTCTCTTCAGCCCAGAGGGCCCTTCGTAGGCCCTGTGTGAGGTGCAGTGCCACTCCACACTTGTCAGTGTCCCAAGCTCAGGGCTTAGGACTTGAGCTGTCCACACATGGGAGTCAGCATTTCCTTCAGGATGCTGGTTCTGCCCCTGGTCATAGCAGACATCAGTCTGGGGCTCAGTGTGATTGGAAAAAAGAAAAATAGTATAATTCAGCCTATCAGGAACAGATTTCCCAGGGCCACCTCCCTCAGGACCAAGGCGCAATGTCCCCTTCCTGGATCTGAAGCCACAAACAGCCACCAGCTATGAAAAGCTGCCTGTTCCCCTTCTCGCAGGACTCAAGGCAGAGGTTTGACCCAAGAAGTTTAAAATATAGTTTGAGGGCCCCAGGCAGTGGGGTGGGGAACTTGGGGTCCCCTATATACTCTGTGACTTCCACTCGGTGTTCTCCTAGTGTGCAAGATGACCTGCCACAAGAAGTGTGTGCAGAAGATTCAGAGCTACTGCTCCTACACAGGAGGGAGGAAGGTGAGTATGCCTATGCCCAGAACTTTCTAGAGCATTCCACCCAAGGCTCCTGGGGGAGCAATGCTTGTTGTGAGGGCCAAGTGAGGCACTAGGGCAGGCACAGGGAGGACAGGGAGGTGGCAGGAGGGCATATGGCCCTTCCCAGTTCTGAAACTCCCAGTCAGCAATGGGCAGGTGTATATCTCAGGCTCCCAGACAGGCTCCTCCCCCTCCAGAAAAAAAACGGCCTGGCCAAGGGATTGCCCTCAGCTGTGCACAGAGATTTTGGGGTCCGCATGCTAGGACTACATAAAGAATTGGAATCCAGTTCTTAGAGGGGGCTGTCAGGCCAGGACACCATCTCCATGGAAAGGACTGCCAGCCCACGTGTCATATAGAGGGAGCCCCACCAGTGACCAGCAATCTGGTGCCTCCGGCAACCGTACAAGAGCAAGGAGGCAGGGAGGGAGGGGCCTGTAGAGGTGGTGCCAGGGGCTCTTTGTGGGACCAGAAGTGGGGGTGGCTGGAGATGGGGGCAGACAGTGACACCCAGACCTGAACCTCCACCCCTACTCCACAGAGTGAGCTGGGCTCTGAGCCAGGCCACTTTGGTGTGTGTGTGGACAACCTGATCAATGACAAGGCCTCTGTGCCCATCGTCCTTGAGAAGCTTCTGGAACACGTGGAGATGCATGGCCTATACACTGAGGGCCTCTACCGCAAATCGGGTGCTGCCAACCGAACTCGGGAACTGCGGCAGGCATTGCAGACAGGTGGGCACTGTGGATGGGTAGGTGCCCAGCCAGGCCCCACCTGATGTCACTGCTGCACCTCTCATTTGTCCCCGTCCATGCCTCGCCTCTCACCAATCCCTGTCCACACCTTACAGACCCCGCAGCTGTCAAGCTGGAGGACTTCCCGATCCATGCCATCACTGGGGTCCTGAAGCAGTGGCTGCGAGAGCTACCCGAGCCCCTCATGACCTTCGCCCAGTATGGGGACTTTCTCAGGGCAGTCGGTAAGCCATGTGGGGGCACAGGGCTCAGAACAAGTGCTGCTCCAGCCAGGGCCCAAAGTTTGGGGTAGGCTTGCTCCTCTTCCTGCTAGTCCTAGTCCCACAGGGAGGGTAGCTATAGCACCCTGGGTAGGAGGGGACAGGAGGACTGCACATGGTCAGTGTTCCCGAGGGCTGATGCCCCTGAGGACTGATGAGCTTGGCCTCTCTAGAGCTTCCAGAGAAGCAAGAGCAGTTAGCTGCCATCTACGCTGTCCTGGACCACCTGCCTGAGGCCAACCACACTTCTCTGGAGCGACTCATCTTCCACCTTGTCAAGCAAGTGCCCCACCCCCACCCCACCCCCAGAGTTGAAGTGGCTTTGCCCTGTGACCCAGCCACATGCCCTGGCCACTGAACATCAAGACATTGGACCTGGAGCTAGGGTTAGGGCCCCTAGGTCCTCCCTCCCTGGGCCATAGCTGCTCCCTAACTGTTGGTGGCCCTACAGAGTGGCCCTCCTGGAGGACGTGAACCGCATGTCACCTGGGGCGCTGGCCATCATCTTCGCACCCTGCCTGCTACGCTGCCCTGACAACTCGGACCCACTGACCAGCATGAAGGACGTGCTGAAAGTTACCACGTGAGTGGCCCCTGCATGGACTCTGCATGGGTGGGCCTGCCCCATTAGGAAGCGCTCAGGGTGACCTGACCTGTCCTCCCAGCACTGGGGAGGTTGTGGCAAGGGGATCTGGATAAGAGCCAGCTGCAGAGCAAGACTGTCTCCAAAATCAAACAGAAAGCTCAAAAACTTTGTGTTGGGGCTGGAGAGATGGCTCAGCAATTAAGAGCACTGTCTGTTCTTGCAGAGGACCCAGGTTTAGTTCCTAGCACCCAACATGGCAGCTAACAACTGTCTATAGCTGTAGTTCCAGGGGATCCGACACCCTCTTCTGATCTCCACAGGCGTTGTATAACACAGGTGCACTTACATACGTGCAGGCAATGCACTCATACATATTTAAAGGAAAAAAAGAAACTTTTTATTGGCACATCTTTAATTACCAGCACTCGGGAGGCAGAGGAAGGCAGATCTCTGTCAGATGGAGGCCAACCTGGTTTGAATAGCAAGTTCCAGGCCAGCTGAGGCTACAGGAAGACCCTGTCTCAAAACATGGAGCAAATCAGTATTTCTCTATGCACTGCTAGCATTAGATATGATGATCACTATTTGAAAAGTCAAAAATAAAAAATGGGGCTGGAGAGATGGCTCACTGGTTAAGAGTACTTCTTGGTCTTCCAGAAGACCCCATTTTGGTGCCCAGCACCCACATGGCAGCTCAGAATTGCCTGTAATTCCAATTCCAGAAGAACCTTTTTCTGGTCTCTGAGGGTGCAGGGCATGCACATAGTATGTGCACAAATATGCAGGCAAAAACCACCACCACCACCACCAACAACAACAACAACAACAAATCAACTTTGTTGGACCTGTGTCCTGGCTGTGGGGAAAGTACACCCATATGATCCTGACCCTGGGAATTCTATTATCTGTCAGGTCAGTGCATCTGGTTTCTTTTTAAAATGATATGGCACATGTGCGGAGGTGGGAGTATAACCTGCCTATTGATCCTCTCCTTCCAGTGGGTCTCGGGCAGAATTCAGGTTGTCACCCTTGGCAGCAGGCACTTTCCTACTGAGCCATCTTGCCTGTCTTCCTGTAGGTCTCTCAGCAGCCCCTCCACCCTGCCCTTCTCTTTTTTTGTGCTGCTAGGGTTAGAACCAGGGGTCTGTGCACCCTTGCCACACCCTGGGACGGACTGTGGGTTCTCTACATGCTCAGTCACCCTAGGGATGGAACCCCGGCCCTCAGCACCCCAGCCCCGGACTCCCTACCTTATTACTCCGAGTGTATCAAAATGAACACGCCTTTTTAAAAACTAAAACCTACTAATTAGCAAAAGGTGGATATGAGTAGAGTTGGGGTTCCAGAAGCTGCCCACTCAGATAACACCCTACTTCTCGGTCCTTTTGAAAAGCAAAAACAGGAACTACTCAGCCCTGGTCAGGGAGGGCCAGACAGTGAAGCCAGCTTTTCCACCTTTTGGGTAAATAAGTTATTTTCTAGAATTTTCTTTTGAACTCCCACCTGAGCGTTCTTCAGAACTCAGAAGAGCTGGGATGCAGTTCAGTGATAGAGCTCTTACTGAGTGTGTAAGAAAATCTGAGTTCTACCTCCTGTATCCCCTCCCCGAAAAAAGAGACAGTACAGCTGCCTTGTGAGGATGTCTTACGACTACTAGTTCAGAAAATCAGAGTCTGTCACCCCAGGTGCTTCTGTAAAGCAAGCACAGGGGCCAAGGAGGAACCCCTTGGCTCCTGCGCAGGTCCCCAAGCCACACTCATGGCTGCCAACGAAAAGCAATGACCTCTCCAGAGGCAGGGCAGGGAGAGTCACTTCTTTCTCCTCAGCATATGGTCATGTGGGAACCCAGAGACCCTGCCTCTCCTCACTAGTACTGACCTCTCCAAGTTGAGTTCCTCTAGTACTGACCACTGTAGGCTGAGTCTCTCTGGTATTGACCACTGTAAGCCAAGTCCCTCTGGTACTGACCACTGAGTAGGTACAATGTTGGGAGGAGGGTCAAAGCTTATACTCTAGAGCTCTTTGACAGGGTGCCTGGCTCTGGGACAGGTTGCCTCATGGCACTGGGACAAATCGTCCAACTTTTGTGTGCCCAGCCTTCTCCCTGCCCATGACTGAGGGGTCTGGGATCTTCCTGCCACCCTGTATCCAGCCCTTTCCCCAGTGCTGGCCTTCTTCCTTGGAACAAGGTTTGCCAGAGACACGAAATCAGGCTAGACAGGAAGTCAGGAAGACAAGCAGAGTGAGCTTCCTAGGGTCATACTGCATGGGCACCAGGCCCAGCCCCAGCAGTAGCCCAGGCCCTGGCTGCCTCCGGGACTGCTCTCCAAGTCACTATGCCCTTTGGCTGACAGACCTTGATGCAGGGTGTGGCCTGGAAGGGAGCTGAGTGTGGCTTCCTGCAGGTGTGTGGAGATGCTGATCAAAGAGCAGATGAGGAAATACAAGGTGAAGATGGAGGAGATCAACCAGCTGGAGGCGGCCGAGAGCATTGCCTTCCGAAGGCTCTCCCTTCTGCGCCAAAATGCGGTGAGGGTCAGCCTTGGGGCAGGGTCTTTGAGTGGCAGGAGTGTGGTTTAGGCCATAGGGCATGGCCTCATGGGCAGTGGGTAGGCTCTCCTGTCCTGGTCTCCCACCCACCACCACCACACACTTGGAAGCAGGTCCTGCTGGCAGCACACAGCACACAGGTGGTCCCTGCGTTCACCAGAGGCTGCTGTCCACCCAGCAGACACAGGCTGTTCCTCCCAGGGGGCACCAGCCTGGTCCTGTGTCCTGCCCACCTGCGTCTCACACACAGGAAATATTCCCAGAGCACAGTGCCCAAGTGGTAGGAGTTGGGGGGGCGGGTAGCTGGCCCATACCTGTAGCAGGCCCGGTGCACACCTGTGGCAGTCCCAGCCCACCTGCTCACTGTGCTAATCTCTCCCCCAGCTATGGCCTCTCAAACTGGGGTTTTCGTCTCCCTATGAGGGGGTCCGGGTATGTACGTGTTCTTGGGGCCCCTGCTTGTGTTCAGGGTGCACGCTGGGTACCCTTGTCCGGGCTGTCATAGTGTAGACAGAGCATGCCCTAACCTCCCAGAAGTGCATGCTGGCCCCTCATCCCCACTAGATTCCTGCAGAGACTGAGCAAAGAGCTCCCCAGCCTCCACACAACTAACCTGAGCTGCTGGCCCCTTGCCTCCCACAAGCACTACACTCTGCCCACCCAGGTTCTCCAGTCAAACCTGTCCCTTCCATTTCAGACTAAAAGCCCTAAGGCCCTGGTCAGCCAGGAAAGCAGCCTGGAGGAGCTAGAGGTGCTGCCTGAGGAGGAGGCAGCTGGTGGCGATGAAGACCGAGAAAAGGAAATCCTCATGGAGCGGATTCAGTCCATCAAGGAGGAAAAGCAAGTGTCCTAGACCCTCCTCCCCTCCCTTAGCCTAACAGCCAGTGCAAAGGTCCTAAGGCCACACTCCCTGCATGGAGCCAAGAGCCCAGGCCTCAGTTGCTGACATGCCCGGGTGGCCTGTCCCTCACAATAATGCTCCTCACTCCCAGGGAGAACATCACATACCGACTGCCAGAGCTGGACCCGAGGGGCTCTGATGAGGAGAACCTGGACTCAGAAACGTCAGCCAGCACTGAGAGCCTCCTAGAGGAGAGGAGCACACGAGGGACCTCGGAAGGTCAGTGTGAAAGGAGTGGCCACTGCCCTTGCCCATGGCAGGCCCCGGGTGAGGGTCCACCCACACCTCCGCTGCAGTAACCCCGAGTCTGTCTCTCCAAGGGCCCCCCACGCCTGCTCTCCCCTACCCCAACACACTTACCCCGAACCCCCTCCCCGAGGCGGCTGCCCCTCCACGGAGAAGGCCCACATCCTTCATCACGGTCAGAGTGAAGACACCCCGGAGGACCCCCATCATGCCCACTGCCAACATCAAGCTCCCGCCAGGACTACCCCCACACCTGACCAGCTGGACACCTGCTCTCCAGGAGGCTGCTGTCCCTATGAGGCGTCGAGAGCCACCTGCCCGCCGGCAGGACCAGGTACACTCTGTATACATCGCCCCTGGGGCTCACCTGCCCATGCAGGACACCCTGGAACCCCTGGACCATGATGCCCGGCCCCCTGGCGCCAAGCGCAGGTACTCAGACCCCCCAATCTACTGCCTGCCCCACAATTCGGGCCAGGCTAACGGCTGAGGACTACAGCAGGCAGTCTGCCTGTTCTAGGACCCCTGTTGCCGAGCCTGCCTGTGGCTCTGAGAAGGATCCAGAGAGGCTTCCAGGAGGATGAGGTGTACACCCACTCCTTGTGGAGTCGAGGCAGGGGGCTACTGGCAGTAAGTGGCCCCCATACAAGACAAGCTCCTGCACCCTTTGTAGTATTATCAGTAACCATCATCCTGGTTTACATAACTGTTAAGTTGTAACAGACTTAACGAGAAGACCAAATTGTTTTTTATATATGTAAGTTCAGACTTTTATATTAACACCCTCCGTCTTTGTAACCTGGACATGAGATATCCAAGTGCCTGGCTGCTGTGGTGTGGTCCACACACAGCCGGTGGACAGTGAACTCTGGGAGTTTTGGATGCATGGAGCGCTTGCCTCCCTCCTGTTGTCTCCGGTGTCTCTACTGGCAACAACCATCTGACCAGGGACGCTGGAGCCTTCCATTGGCACAGCTGGTGGCTGAAGCCAGGACCTGAGTGGCAGGCCTTCAACCCAGACCATGCCAACCTTGCATTCCAGGGAGGCCCAAATGTGCGTTGCCCAGTGTGCCTTGAACACCAGTGGCTGGGGGACCTGCCCTTGGCTCTGCCTGCCTCATGGAACCCAAGGAGGCAGGGACTCAGGACCTTCAGGGGCAGGCAGGGCAGGCCCTGATGCCCCGAGCCTGGGACCTGCAGAGTCCAGTCCTTCCCTCAGGCTCCTCTACTCCCTCAACACGTGGCCTCAGGCCTGGGACCAAGAACTTCCAGAGGTGTGAAATAAAAAGTGCCTGCAAAGTGTCCACCTTGCCTTGGCTTTGCTGCTCCATCGTGGGGGCGGGTCCTCTCCTGAAGGAAGGGCCTGCCTGAGTTCTCAGCCAGCACCACAGTCCCCATCTCCCACCACTGAGGCACCCCAGGATGCCTGTCTGAGATTCCAGCATCCAGGAGACCTCAGCGGGAGAAGTAAGAGTTCTAGGCCAGCCTGGACCCTGTATCAAAGAAAAAGGCCAGTTAGAGCTGAAGTGTTCAGAGAAGCTGCTGTCCCCAGAGATAGTGTGTCACAGTCAGCCCATGCCCTGTGGAGTCTCAGTACCGGCTGGGCATTCCTTACCAGAAACTGGAAAGACTCTGAGATCTGGAACTTTCAGGCAGGTGGAAAATTTCACACCTGGCTGCCTGTGATGGGCCACAGTCAAACACAGAAGTACTAAAAATATCGTATGAGATTCCCATGAGCGGTGAGAGATGGCTCGGTGGGTAAGAACACTGCTGTGAAAATGTGAGTTCCTGAGTTCAAATCCCAGCACACATGTAAAAAGTCTTGCCTGTGGGTGTCTGTAACCCTAGCACTGGGGATAGAGATAGGAAGATTGCTGGGGCTTGACTGCTGCCAGCCTGGTTCCAGGTCAGTAAGAGACTCTACCTCAAGGGAATGTGGAGAGAGATGGCACCTTATGTCCTGTGGCCTCTGCACACACACTTCAGGATGGGCCTGGTAGCACACCCCTAATTCCAGCATTCAGAAGGTTCAAGCCAGCCTGTACTACAGGAGACCCTGTCTCAAAAAGCTCCCTACCTCCAATAAACATTGTCCTTAAGGTCCTTAAAGCAGAGGGACTGGACTGACTGCTCCTGGATGAACATCAGGTGTCAGGACCCTTAGCCTCTGTAACACCTGGTGCTGCAATGCCCAAGCCTAAGGTGGTGACAGGTTCACATACTGCAATCACAGTGTTTCCTGTCCTGTTGTCTTGGAACTTTTGTCTTTTGTTTTTGTGTTTGTGGGTACCTGGGAGGCCAACGGAGGTCATTGGATCCCAAGGCTGGCACCTGCTCAGCAGGGCTAGTGACGGGAGCTGCTCCCAACCCTGGGTGTGACGCTGGGTGTTGGGGTGACTGCCCTGAGAGTGGCCCAGCCAGCTACTGCTGAAGGCTACAGGCTCCTGGCTTTGTGTTCAAGGCACAGGGCATGTGAAATGCCTGCTTTTGATAGTGTTTTGGTTTTAATTATGTCTGTATATCAGGCATTTGGAAGCCAGAGGTTAATATTCAGCATCTTCCCGTTACCTTCCACATTATTTTTTTGAGATAGGGTCTCTCGCTTCACCTGGAGCGCACGGATTGGCTAAACTGGCTAGCCAAAGAGCCCTGGAATTCCCATCTCCACCCCTCGGTGTTAAAATTCCAAGTGTGGCCCCACTCTACCTGGCTTTTACAAAAAGGCCTTTATAAAAAGCCAAAGGGGCCCCTGGAGCAACAGGACTGGAGGTAGGCAGCTTCTGTAGGGTAGATTTGGGCAGATGCATTGAGTAGGGGACTACCTTAGCCCCAGGCCCAGCCTGCGGTGACTTTTCATGTGAGTGGTAGTGAAGTCTTCATCCTCACACTTTACCCACTGAAACATCTCCCCAGCCCGTTTTGACCATTTAATTATTCACAGCATAAGCAGGATGTTTGCCGTTAAGACAGGCAGGCTCAGCACACAGCTAACAATTCTGACCATGTTCAACAGCACTGGCATTTCTACTTCCCTGTGATGGGGACAAGCCAGAGGCCTGTCCCAAGCCACAGGGCTGGGGAAGAAAGGCCCAGCCTTATACTCCCCATAGATCCCACTTTATGAACCCTAGATTCCATCTCCAGGTTTTTTCCAAGGCTAACCCAGATGATCAGAGGGGTGGGCTTCACACCAGGCTCTGGTTCTCATGAAGCCCCCACTCTCACTAGTCCATTCAAGAGGGGTGCCTAAAGGCAGACCAAGTGGCTCAGTGGGTAAAGGTGCTTGCTGCCAAAGCGTGATGACTTGCGGTCAATCCCTGGGACCAGGACCCACATGGTGTAAGAAGAGACCCAACTCCCACAAGTTGTTCCCTGAGCCCCCTACACACACACACACACACACACACACACACACAAAAGACCTTTAAACAGCTGAATGTGGTGGTACATGCCTTTAATCCTAACACTGGGGAGGTAGAGGCAAGTAGGTATCTGAGTTCCTGGCCAGCCAGGGCTATATAGTGAGACTCTGCCTAAAAACAAAATAGGGGCTGGAGAAATGGTTCGGCAATTGAGAACACTGCTGTTTTTGCAGAAGACTCAGGTTCAAATCCAAGTACCCACCTGGTGGCTAACAACCTCCAGTTTTAGGGATCCAACACCTTCTGACCTCTAAGGGCATTGCACAACACAGGCAGAGGGCCTGAGTTCTCTTCCCAGCACACACATCAGGCAGATCACAACTACCTGTAATTACAGCTTCCAAGGGCACCTGCATTCCTGCATGTACACAATCACACGTATACACATAAAGTGTAAAATAAGCCACATAAAAACAAAAGCTGGATATGTTGGTGAGGGTTTGTAACCCCAGTGCTGGGGGCAGAAGGCAGATTCCTGGGGCTAAGCAGCTAGCCTAGCTTTCTTGGGGAGTTCAGGCTAGAAACCCTGTAATTGGCACCCAGGAGGCAGAGACAGGCAGGCAGATCTCTGTAAGTTGGAGCCCAGACGTCTACATACACTGCTGTCCTGCCGGAGCCACTTATGGGGCGAAGCGGTGCGGGGAGAAACTCTCAAGAGACTGTAAGACTCCTGGGGGTAGTAATACCGAAGTTTTCCTCTGGCCTCCATAGTCTTGTGGGCACAGCACATGCACAGACAGGCACAAGAGTGGCTTCCTGGGAACCTGGGTGGTCAGAGACTGGATTCTTCCCTGGAATTCAGGATATTAGATGTAATCCTGTCCTATGTCTCTTCGGGCAGGGTTGTGTTCCCTCAAGGTTGTGGCAGTGTTGCTTCCAAGCGGAGTTAAGGGAAATTCAAGACTAGGGCTGGGGCTGGATCTGGCATGTCGAGTCATAATATCAGGTTGGGGGAAACCTCGGGCCAGGACCTCTGGCCCAGGAGAAACCGGGGGAAGTGGCCTAGCTGTGGAGCGTTCAGTAAGCAAAGAGACCGGCGGGAGCCAGTCTGAGGGAGGCATTTTGAGAAAGCCCAACGGAATGACCCGGAACGCATTGCACGCGGGTCCGCCAGCGGAGGAACCGGTCCTTGCACCCCCAGGGAGTTCGAGTACTCTCAAGGCAGGAAGGTTAGCGAGAGCTCTAGGCCGGTCTGCGCCACTGAATGAAAACGTGCCTCAAAAAAAGACAAAACTACAATTTTGGCGTTCTCCGGAACGCCGACGAGTTAGCCCGGAATAAACAGAGACGGCGCCAGCCCTTGAAATAACAGTACTCCAGCCCAAACAGTGCTAGGCCGACCCTCGAGAGTAGGGCATATCCTCCCGGAAGGAAGCCGGACTCCGGAACTTCCGCCCTCCTCTAAGATGGCGCCGACGGAAGGTGCCAATCGCCATCCGCTGGCGATGGCGAGGTCGCGGCTGGAGCTGAACCTGGTGCGGCTCCTGAGTCGCTGCGAAGCGATGGCGGCGGAAAAGCGGGACCCGGACGAGTGGCGTCTAGATAAGGTGAGGGAACCCTGAGTCTAGGAGTTGTAGCTCGGGGCTGAGGCCAACAGCCCCCAGGCCACGTTCCCGTCAGCGTTAACACCTCCATGCACAAGCCCCTCCCTCCTCCCCTGCCACACCCCCTCATACTTGAGCCTTGCCCCTCTCCCTGGGCCAGATCCCCTCATACGTAGGCCCCTCCTCTCTCTGGCCCCACCACTCACACATGGCCCCTCCCCTCTCAATGGCCCCACCCCTGAAAGCAGTCCTGGGCACTAGTCTGACGCCCACCATTCCTTCCCAGTACGTGGGCGCCCTGGAGGACATGCTACAGGCCCTGAAAGTGCAGACCAGGTGAGTGTCAGTGTGGGGACATGGAGCTGCCCTCCTCCTGCAACTGGCAGCAGGGCAGGTAGACTGTCTCCTCTTGCCTTCCAGCAAGCCGGCCTCCGAGGTAATCAGCGAATACTCCCGCAAAGTGGACTTTCTGAAAGGGATGCTGCAGGCTGAGAAGCTGGTAAGCATGGCCCTTCGACCCCTCCACCCTCCAGTCCTCACTCAGGTTCCCAGGGTCCTCAGGACACGGTCCTTCAGGAACCTGTCTTCCAATGTTTCCCCAGACGTCTTCCTCTGAGAAGGCATTAGCCAACCAGTTCCTGGCCCCTGGCCGCGTGCCCACCACAGCCAGGGAGCGGGTGCCTGCCACTAAGACCGTCCATCTGCAGTCCCGGGCCCGATACACCAGCGAGATGTGCAGAGAACTGCTGGGCACGGTAGGGCTCCCTCCTATTCCTGGGGGACATGCCTTGGGCAACAAGAGTGTGCAAACTCTGCAAGAACTGAGTATCAGAACACAGCTTCTGGCCTGAGTTAGTGGACAAGGCCCAGAGAGGGACACTGTGTTCTGGGCTTTTCGGAATAAATAGAGTTTGGTTCAAGGCAAAAAATGAACCATGTTGCTGGGCGTGGTGGCACACGCCTTTAATCCCAGCACTTGGAAGGCAGAGGCAGGCAAATCACTGTGATTTTGAGGCCAACCTGGTCTACATAGGGAGCCAGCTGGGGCTACAGGGAGATCCTGTCTCAAAAAGATTTAAAAAAAAAAAGCCGAGCGGGGTGGTGCATGCCTGTAGTCCCAGCACTCGGGAGGCAGAGGCAGGCGGATCTCTGTGAGTTCAAGGCCAGCCTGGTCTACATAGTGAGTTCCAGGACAGACCCTGTCTCAAGAAGAACCCCCCCCCCAAAAAAAGAAAAAAAACGAACCATGTCATGTGAAGCCCCAGAGTTGACCCCGGAGAATTTGGGTGAGCTTCTTCACTATAAAATAAGAAATGCTTTTCTGAGTACTTTACGTGGGTCAGGTCAAGGCAGAAATGGCAGGTTTTGGGACCTGTCAAGGTAGATGAGTGTCAGGGTGAATGAGTACATGCCCCTCCCTCTTTCCCACAGGAGTCTTCCAGAGGTGAGTCACATGGACAGGACTACACGGCTCCCCAGTGGTCCTCCACACCCCTCTCACCTACTGGCTTCCCTGTGCTCTGCACCCCTTCTGCTTGCCAAGCTTCCTGCTGCTCCACACCTCAAAATGGTCCGTACCCCTTGGTCTTGCTCAGCCCAGGCAGAGGGTCACTCGGGCATCTTTGAAACCTGAGAGGAAGTGGTCCTCAGAAGGGTGCTGGGCACCACAGCCCACAGGCCAATGCTAGTTCACAGGGGAGGACCTACATCCTCTGGAGCCAGTGGGGGTAGGAAAGGCTTTCCACCAACCAGCAGACGTTCTGACTAGGGTTTTGAGGCATGAGGAGGAGCCCAGTGGGCCATAGCCTGAGGTGGAGCAGCACAGAGGTGAGGCACAGGTCAAGGCCACAAAGTGACAGAAAGGAAGCCAACCTCTTCCTGTCTGGCCTGTTTTGCTTCCAGAGCCTGAGATGGACGTAAGGAAGAGAACGTGAGTCAAGTGAGGGCGGAGGAGAAAAGCTGGATGACCTGGGGCCCTGAGATGCCACTGCAACGGTCCAAGCCCCCCCCAACTACCCAGTCACCCAGCCACCCAATACCCTGCCATTCAGCCACCCTGTTACCCTGTCACCCGGCACAGCCACCCTATCAACCGGGACCCACTACCTGTCCCTGATGTTCTTCCCAAACTTAACAGTGGGGGAACCCAGTCCCATGTAGGAGTGAGGGTGATGCCAGGGCCTTGGGAGACAGCATGGGTCAGTCTCCTCCTCTCCTGTCATTCCCGGTGTCCACTGACTCGGAGGCCAGTGGGGTGCCAGGACCCAGACCTACAGACGAGAAACAGTCAGCAGCAGATCTGGACCTCGTCCTCCAGCAACACCAAGACCTTCAGGACAAGCTGGCAGAGGAGATGCTGGGCCTGGCCCGCAGCCTCAAGACCAACACACTGGCTGCCCAGAGTGTCATCAAGAAGGACAACCAGGTGGGGACTCTGGGGACCACAGGAGGGGGCACTGCAGCTGGGGTTTTGCTGGCTAGGTACAAGTTTGGTAAAGTCCAAGGGGCCACATTCTTAGCAGAGAGCTCAGTGTCAGCAAGGGTGAATGAAGTACAGGCCACCCTGCCTGGTTGACATCTCTCTACCTGGCCCACAGACTCTGTCACATTCACTCAAGATGGCAGACCAGAACCTGGAGAAGCTGAAGACGGAATCGGAGCGGCTAGAGCAACATGCTCAGAAGTCAGTGAACTGGCTGCTGTGGGTCATGCTCATCCTTGTGTGCTTTGTGTTCATCAGCATGATCCTGTTCATCCGCATCATGCCCAGGCTAAAATAAACCACGCTGCCAACTCCAGGCTCTGCCCCTCAGTGCCCTGCAGGGTGGGATGCATATGCCCATGGAGGTCGGACTGCAGGGCTTGCTTTCATCCTGGTATCTGCCTCTCCATCACCTCCCATCCCAGGGCTCTGGAGGTTGAGGCATTGAGCTCTAGGGCAACGTGGGTTATGGAGCAAAAAAAGGCCTCAAAACCCTGTCTCAGAAAGCAAAAGGCCTGAGAGATGGCTCATTGAGTAAAGATGCTTGCTGCCAAGCCTGATGACTTGAGTTTGATCCGCGGGACCCACATGGTGGAAGGAGAGAACTGACTCCTGCAAACTGTCTCTCCTATATATTTCAAAAATACTTTTTAGGGGCTGTGGAAATGGCTGTCAGTAAGAGTGCTTGCTGCCTATGGGCGTGCAGGGATCTCGGGGCGCCAGCTGCTGGGCGTGGTGCCGGTCTCCCACACGTCGCTGGAGTATGGCTGGAGTGCGGCGGGTCCCGCTTGCGGCGTCTGCTGTTTGTTTCCCTGGCTCTCCAGCACTGGGGTGCGCGGGTTTTGCAGCAGTTGCTGAGGGTCTCTGTTACTGGAGCTGGCGGCTCTAGGATCGCTGTCAGCTGCCCGTTGGTTCCGTTTCAATTTCCACCGTGCACTCCCTCTAGGGTTCGAGACCCCTTGGCCACCAGGTCGCGAGGGGAGGTGCAAGCAGGGTCTTCGTGAGTTGATGATGGAAGGATAGCCGCCCCCCCAGACTGGATCACAGGATTTAGTGTTACAGCTTCAGACAAGTGACTCAGCTCAGATCTCAGTGATTCAGCTCCAGCTCCAGCTTTATTGGGGTAAAACTAGGACTATTTATAGTGTGGAGACAGTAGAAAAGCCTTAGCTGATAGGTACTCCTGGAATGCTTCATTTACATAGGGTGGTGGGCTTCTATCAGGCTATCAGACAACACCTGATTAAAACCTGGTAGCTCCTGTGCCAGAGGGCATGTATCTTGTGACGGGCATTTCAAAAGTAAGTCAGGGAGGAGAGCAGAAGGCGCCCCGCTGAGAAGGGGCTATCCGGACATGGGGAGACTGCTACCCTAAACAGCAGGGGTCCCCAATAGCTGCCCAAGCATCCCCAGAGCTCACTAGCCAGACAGCCTAGCCTAATGATGAGCTTCAGGTTTAATGAGAGACCCTGTGTTTCAAAACAAGGTGGAGAACAAGAGGTAAACACCCACAACCTGCTCTGATCTCTGCATGTGTACCCACAAACAAACAAACAAAAATACTAAAATTTCATCGAGCATGGTGGCGCAAGCCTTTAATCCCAGCACTTGGGAGGCAGAGGCAGGCAGATCTCTGGGTTCAAGGCCAGCCTGGTCTACATAGTGAGTTCCAGGACAGCTGTGGCTACAGGGAGACACTGTCTCAAAAAGACCAAAAAATAAATTTTGAGGCTGGAGAGAGCTCAGCAGTTAAGAGCACTGGCTCTTGCAGAGGACCTGGGTTCAATTTCCAACACCCACATGGTGACTAACCATTCCAGGGGAAGCCAAAGCCTTCTTCTGACCTCCATGGGCATTGCACAACATACGCACATTTATAGGCAGGCAATACACTCAAACTAAAAATAGTATTTTAAAATACTTCAAAAAATATATATACTGGAGAGATGGCTCAGTGGTTAAGAGCACTGACTTCTCTTACAGGACTGGGGTTCAGTTCCCAGTACCCACATGGTGACTAACAACCATGTAACTCCAGTTCCAGGGGAATCCAACACCTTCTGACCTCTGAGGTCACTGCATGACAGGGATGCACTTACATGCAGGCATAACACATAAAATGTTTTATATATAATATATATTATATAAATTAATAGCCAGGCATGGTGCTGTACTCAAAAGCAGAGGTAGCCAGATCTCTAGGAGATCAAGGCGAGCCTGGTCAACATAGTTGGGGCTACTGGGAGACCCTGTCACACACACACCACACACACACAAATTACTAGACTGGCCTGGTGGTGGTGCAACACCTTCAATCCCAGCACTCGGGAGGCAGAGGCAGGTGAATCTTGAGTTCCAGGCCAGCCTGGTCTACACAATAATATCCTGTCTCAAAAAACAAAAAATATATATATAATTACTAAAACACCTAGGTCAAGTTTGGTAAAACCACCTGAGTTTTTCAGGCAAATAGATTTTCAAAGGGTGACTGGCCCCAGACACAGCTCCAGGGATGACTGAACCCGCTAGTACCGAGGTCAGCGGCCGGGCCCCGCCCTGCCCGCCCTGCAGGCCGCACCCCCCGCAGGCTGGCTGCCCCGCCGTCCGGCACACCACACCCCACGCTCTGGCGCATTTCCTGCAGCACAGCCAGGCGCGGATCCCCGGCGCTGGAACAGGTGACATCAGGAGGTGCCGCCAGTGTGACTCGCGGGCAGGAAGGGGCCGGGGGCTCTGTGGGGCCTGACCGTGGGCTGCGGCGCGAGAACGGGGGTCTCCTCGACCCGCCCCGGGGTCACCGCGACGTCCGGACTCCTCTGCATCGCGTCCTTCCGGGTTCCGAAGCGGGGGGCAGAGTCCGGGCTGCGCAGCCGGCCAACCGCGTTCCTGTGCACGTAGAGGCAGCGGTGACGGACTTCGTGCGGCTTGCTCTCCGGAATTCTGCAGCTGAGGGGTGGAGTCTGGGTTGTACGGCGAGCCAACCGCGAGCGTCTATGCAAATAGGGGCTGGCCCCGCCCCCAGACGCGAGCTCGGCCCTCCGGCCTCCGTCCGACCCCGGCCCGCGCGCTCCAGCCGCGATGCCGCACGCGCTTTGCGCCCGGCCGTCGGGGGACGCCCGAGCGCCCAGGTCCCGCGCACGCCCACCCAGGAGCGCCCGCAGCCCCGCACTGCCGGCCCCGAGGCCCGGGTGAGTATCATTTCGGCGCCCCCAGGTCGGGTAGCCCCCGCTTCCCGACACTCCTTCATCGGGATCCCAGCTGCTGCGCAGACACTGCTGCCTGGGGTCCCTGAGCGCAGCGCCCGCCGCCGGCAGTGCCAGCCTGGGGCCCGGGAGCTCCGGCCGAGGACCCGGAAGATTGTGTTTGAGGATGAGCTGCGCTCCCGGGCTCCTCTGCACCCCGAGAAGCGCCCCGAAGGTCGGGGACCCAGCCCTCACTCAGTGCCGGACTATGAACTGTGAGTGCCCGAGTTTGCGTCTTCGTGTTTATGAGCAGGTCTGGCCATGTAGCCCAGGCTTGCCCCAAGTCATGATCCTACTGCCTCAGCCTCCAGGGGCATGGGATAGGATAGCAAGTACACCAGCACCTGGAGAACCTGAGAACTAGGAAGGGCCCTAAGGCCCTGGCTCTGATGAATAAGGGTTTACCGAGTCGGGAAATGGAGGTGGGGGTTGAAGGGTGGAGGGAGGCACGTGGATCCAGCACGGGCAAAAAAAACACCAAATACAGTGAGTGAAAAGACAGTTCTTCCATCACTCTCTGACCCCTTCAAACCTGAAAGCAAGTACCCAGCACTGAGCAGCCAGAGGGCCCGGAGCCGCTACGCAGCAGTGTTCCACGACCAGTACGGAGAGTTCTTGGAACTGCAACGACAGGTGGGGGCCACACACGTCAAGCTCCAGCAGCTGAAAACCCTGCTAACGTCACTGCCTGCACCCCAAAGCCAGGTCAGCCCCTCATCCCCACAGCCTCCAGGACACCACAATGTCTGGGACAGTTCTGTGCGGGGTGGGCTTCGAGACTCACTGCCGTGGTCGGCCCTCGAAGGCCCCTTCCTCCATCTCAGCCTCAGTTTCCCCATCCTTCTTGGGTCCCGTGCTCCTGAGCTCCTTCCTCCACCTTATCTTTGCAGAAGGAAGCTCGGCTGGTAGCTCGTGTCTGGAGAGAGTTTGAGAGGAAACGCGTGGTGAGTGGGGACTCTGGGTACCACAGCTTTGCTTGGGCACCTCTAATACTGTCCTGAAGCTGGGACCCGAGTACAGAAAACTCAGGTTTATAACAAAAAGAGCTAAACAGCTTGAGGATCTAGGGTGCTGTGATGACCTCCTCAGCTCCCTTCCTCCCAGGATCCTGGCTTCCTGGATAAGCAGGCTCGCTACTGCTACCTGAAGGGTAAACTGAGGCACCTCAAGGCCCAGATCCGAAAATTTGATGACCAAGGGGAAAACAACAGCGACAGCTCTGTGTACTTCTGAGTATCCTGATGACCCAGTGGCTGGCCCCTCCTCTGGACCCCAACTCTGACCCCATGGAGACCCTGCCTCAGTTCTAGTGGAATTCCTCAAAATCCCATAGAATAAACACGGGTTAGAGGCCTACTGTGTACAATTTCCCAAAAGCATCCTTCCAATTTACAGAGGGGGAAATGAGACTCAGAGACAGGGGCCTCTCCAAGGTCTCAGATGGGGACATCGTGGTGGGGCAGGAGGCTTGTGCGTTGGAAGTGTTAAGTGCCCTCAGTGAGGTAGACCTGAGGTTTCCTGGAGAACTGTGGTGCAATGCTGGGAACCTGCCAGAAGGGGGCACAGCTCTCCAAGGACACCCTGGTTCCCACTGCCTGCCTAAAAGTTTGCCTGGCTTGCTGGAAGGGTCACCAGCTTAACTCATTAGGGTGGGGGAGCACTGCACCGGTGCCAGACTCCCTGCCAGGCTGTGTGGCAGTGGGACAGACACTACCCACTCTCAGACTCATCTCCGTGGAAGCCAAGACAGTGACAATATCAGCTGCAGGCCAGAAATATAATGCCACCAGGGACTGCCCTCAATCTCCTAGTCTAAGGAACATATTCCTGGGCCCAGCTGGATGGCTAGTCCACAACCAGTGAACCACAGGATATCTTTCTGCAGAGAGAGCCACATGAGTAGGGTTTTGTAGGAAAATGAGGGGCTCAGTTGGCTGAGCACAGATCTGGTGCTTTCTCCCTAGAGCTGAGCCCCAAACTTCCTGGTTCCTTTCCCCCACCACACATCAACTCAGTTAAATCTACATTTTCCAAGTGTGCCCCACCTTTCAAATGCCAATTTAAACATTATTTTTATGAGTGTCTTGCATGTATGGAAATGCACCATGTGTGTGCAGTATCCGTGGAGGCCAGAAGAGGGTGTTGGCCCTGGAACTGGAGTTAAAGATGGTTATCAGCTACCACGTAGGTGCTGGGAGCCAAATCTGGGTCCTCTGCAAGAGCAGCCAGTGGTTTTAACCATTGAGCCATCTCTTCAGACCCTCAAATGTCAATTTTAGAAATGGAGGTAATTTAAGTACTTATGGTCAGAAATTGAACTCAGATTAATCTAGACATAAAACAGTGGGTCTGCCAGGCGCATTGGCGCATGCCTTTAGTCCCAGCACTCCACTTGGGAGGCAGAAGCAGGTGGATCTCTGTGAGTTCAAGGCCAGCCTGGTCTACATAGTGAGTTCAGGCCAGCTGGAGCTACAGGGAGACCCTGAATCAAACCCAGGCCCTCTCCAAGAGCAGCCAGTGCTTTTAACCGCCCAGCCATCTCTCCAGCCCCTATTGTTTTTATTTTATGTATATGAGTGTATTGCCTGCATGTGTGTAAGTGCACCCCTGTCATTCAATGCCCGTGTGGTCAGAAGAGGGCGTCGGATCCCCTGGAACTGGAGTTATGGATGGTTGTTAGCCACCATGTGGGTGCTAGGAATTGAACCCGGGTCCTCTGCAAGAGCAGTCAGTGCTCTTAATTACTGAACGATCTCTTCAGCCCATGCTCATGGGCTTTTAAGATACCTAAGTGTTTCAGGTGTGACTTGATCCAGATAACTTGAGAAATTCTTTCTGAACCTGGACTTGCACTCCCCAGCAGGACAGGGCCTGGTCCCACCCCACTGGAGCCTCGCTGGGCCAGGCCTAGGTTACTTCCTGGCCCTGCAGTACAAAGTGGAGGCTGGGAAAGCAGGAAAGGTCTTTATTATTGGCCATGACTTAGCTTCACGTAGTGTTCACAGAGCCTCCCAGCCCACACTACCCCTGCCTAGCTGCAGCAGCCCCTCCAGACACCTGGCCCATACCCATTACTCCGAGGCCACCACCACACTGGCTCAGGATGGACAGCCCCCCCGCCCCCCCCCCCCCGCAAGGGGCTTTGGGGAGGATAGGGCTGGGGCCTAGATGAGCCAACTCTTTTTGGTTTCTTGATCATTTAAAAAACAAAGAAACATTTCACAGTCTTTAAAAACAGAATCAGTCTCAGCAAAGAAGCCAGGGTCCTTCTCCCTGGGGTCCCCTTGAGTCCCAACATCCATGCATGTCTCAGGAGGTGTCTGTCACTGACTGGAGCCATAGGGCCAGTTGAAGGCGCTCCCTGACAGCAGCATGTCCCGGATGAGTGTCTCAATGGGTGTCTTGCCCACCAGGCGCATGAAGAAGAGCTGTGAGATGAGAGATGCAGGCACTGCTCGGAGGGCTGGCAGCCGAAGCAGCAGGCGACCAAAGCGCTGGGGCTGTGATGGATATTGGGCGCGAATGTACTCGGTGAGAGCCACCTGGGCCTTCTCCTGGAGGCTCTCCACATGAGCTGGGTCTGAGAGGCCGCAGGCATCTGCAGGAGGACACAACACAGGGCAGTCACACTGGGGGAAGCAGGGCAAGGGGCTAGAGGGATTGGTGGAAACACCCCTGGGGGCAGGCACTTGTGACCAGAGATGGGACCCCAAGGCACAAAAGGAGTGGGTGGGGTCCACCCTTCAGGGACATGGAGGTGGCCTCATTTGAGGACAGCTTGGCACTAAGGATCCCCCCAGGGAACAGGCTGGAGAGACGAGTCCTAAGGAAATGAGGGGAACACAGTAGGGCTGCACCTGCTGGATGGGTACCAAAAGAGCTGTAGCAGGTCAGCCCTGCCCTGTGGGAGAGGAACCGATGATCTCCACCCATCACAGGCAGGGCCTTGGAACCACCTGCTGGCCCAGGTCCATCTGGAGGGTGGAGGTTGTAAGCCAGGATGAGGCAGTTGGGTCAGGCAGGAGCCCACACAACCCTTTTATTTGTTGAGGTGGGGACTGAACAAGGTCGAGCTATATAGCCCAGACTGTCCTGGAACTGGCAACTTTCTTGCCTCAGCCCACTCAGGGCTGGGGTGATGGATCTGCACCACGGTGCCACCACCCACTTCCATGAGGACTGGAGTTACTGGACCCAGCTCAGGTCACAAGAGAATGCTGGGGTTAGAAGATTGAGATGTTCCACACCTACATGGCCCTCTACAACTTCCCCCTCCGACACCAATGCTGACCGTGGCCAGGGGCATGTTTGTGGAGTGACCCTTGGAGAGTATGGGGTGGAGCCTAACTCCTGCCTTCCTGGGTCCCCCATCCCAGGGATCATGGCATGGGAGGAGAAGTGGCCCTGTGGGGCATGACCTGGGCTATCATAGGGGGTAGGGCAGGGGTCCAGAGCACCACCCTGGTGGGCGTGGTCTGGACAGAGTAGCACCAGGGGCATAGCCTATAGAGGTTAGAGGTGTGGCTTGGAAGTATAAGGCCCGGCTGCTGACTAGAGATGTACCCTAGGTCAGTTGTTTTAAGGTTGGGGCGTGTCCTATGAATGTGTCCCATGGGCCTGTGGGCGTGTCCCGCGGGCGGGGATTGTGGGGGTATGTCCCGTTTGCCCTCCGGTGGGCGTACCCGCCCACTCACCCCCCACTTACCAGGCGTGAAGAGCGCGATGGCCTTGAGGCAGCCGTACTCTGCGGCGTCCACCTGCAGGCGGCCCAGCTTGTCCACCTGCTCCTGGAAGGCGCGCACCTGGTCCATGAAGGCCACTGCGCGCTCCGCGGCCATGGGCGCGGCGTGCAGCCCGGCGGCGGCCAGCAGCGGGGCGGTGTGCAGCGGCAGCGCGGCCTGTGCGGCGTTCAGCACGAACAGCTCGCTCCAGCTGAGCCGCAGCAGCGCCACCTGGTCCGCGGGAGGCAGGTCTGGGAAGAAGGGCGCGTGGCGGGCCCACTCCACGGTGCTGAACAGCAGACGCGCCGCCAGCTCGCACACGTTGTCAATGCCCAGCACAGCGCCGCCGCCGCCAAAGCGCCCGGCCGGATAGGGCTCAGCCCGCAGCAGCTGCGCGATCAGCTCGGACACCGGCGGCCCCGGGAACAGCTCCGCCGGCAGCGCGGATGGGGGACTGGACGCCGCCGCCGCCGGGAGCGCGTGCGGTATGCGGCCGCGCTGCACCGCTGCGGGAGAGGGTCGTCAGCTCCAGCATGGAATGCACCCCGAACCTGCAGCGCCACCCCACCGTGCCACGGGGGGGACGCATGCGCGGGTCACCTGGACCGAGACTCCATTTGCACCTTGCTGAGTGGACCCCAAACCGCAGCACCCCTTCCTACACACCCATCACTAACCTGACCCACTGTCCTGAATCTTATCACCCCTGGATCCCCTCTTCCTGCAAGAGTTAAGCTCGGGCTGAGGCCTGGAAGCTGCATCTGTCAGTCATCAGAGACTTAGAGCCGGTATCTGAGCCCAGGAGGAGGAGGAAGTCCCTGGCCAGCCTGGTGCTCAGGCCCAGCTCCCCGTGAGACCACATGCTAAGACAGCCTGGTAGTTTTGTCTCAGTTCCAGGAGTGGGTGTGGGGCCTGGCAGGCTGAAGCTGCCACTGCTAGGCTAGCCCTCAGTGAGCACACCTCTCATCCCAGCCCTGGAGAGGTGGAGGCAGGAGGATCAGGAGTTCAAATCCAGTCTCAGCTACATAGTAAGTTTGAGGCCAGCCTAGGCTACATGAGCCCCTGCCTCAAAAAATAACAAAAACAACAAAAAAGAACCACTGCTTATCTGAGTTATCTCCTCAGTCACCAGGCAGGGGGTAAGAGGGAAACTGAGGCACAGAGGGGCAGAGCTTCGTTCCTCAAGCCACTCTGGCAGGGACGAGACACCTGGGTGGGGAGGGAGCAGGAGACTAATGAGTGCACGGTGCCCAGCTGGCATGCTGTCTGGCTAGGGCTCCAGAGCAACCCAGGGGGAGCCATCACCTTGGGGTCGGACTAGAGTCAGGGATGCAGGGGACATGGGGAGGGGCCCACCCCACCCAAACACTGGAGAAGCAGGAGCTCTCAGAGCCACCTGTCACAATGCTCCGGAGGTCCTCCCAGGTTAGGGTTCCCTCTGGGCTCACTGGATAGAGACTCCACCTTCCAGCCCTCCCTGACCCAGCCCTGCTCACACCCCTCTGCACTGGCCTTCTCCTTCCTTAGAACCCTTCCCAGCTGCTGCCGCCTCCTCTACTCCCGCATCCTCACTTCCCTCCTCCTCCTCCTTCTCTTCCTCCTCTTCCACAGCCTAGACTATAGGAGTTCAAATCCCACTCACAGCCTTAGTGCCCTAGCAGCCTCAGTGATCTGCTGTGCCTCAGTTTCCTCACATGTCAAATGCAGAATACAATGTTAAGAACTGAGCCGAGAATCTACACAACTTGCTTTAAACTAGTTCCTGCCACACAGGAAGTGCTGGATGGATGGTAATTCCAGCCAAGAGTCATTTATTGAGCATCTACAGTGTATCAGACCCTGGACTAGGCCCTGGAAATGTGGTGTTGGAAGTGTAAGTTTCAGACCAAGGCACTTGGTATGGAATAAAAGGGGCCAGGGGGTGCATCTGGGAAAAGCTTGAGGGAACCTGGCCATGTGGGGAAGTTAAGAGATGTCTCAGGGAACCAGGAGGTGTCTAGGGGGAGCTGGGCTGAGTCTGAGGGAGCCCAGCTGTGTCTACAGAGAGCTGGGCCATATCTGGGGGAAGCCTGGCCATGTCTGGATCTGGTCAGTGTCTGTGGGAGCAGGGCCATGTCTGGGGAAGCCAGACCATATCTGGGGAGAGCCAAGCTGTGTCTGGGGGAGCCAGGCTGAGTCTGAGGGAGCTGGCAGTACCTAGGGGAGCCAGCCCATTTGGGGAAAGCCTAGCCATGTCTGGGGCAGCTGGGGAGTATCTGGGGGAGCAGGTGGTGTTTAGGAAGCTATATTAGCAGCTGGGGCTCAAGGCTTTGGGGCCATGAGTTATCATCACAGAAATTTTGCCCCCACGGGCCGAGATTTGGAGACCTATCAGATTTGCCATCAACAGACAAGTAGATGTAAAAATCCAGGATTGGGGGGACGTCTGGAGAGATGGCTCAGCAGTAAAGAGCGCCGGCTGCTCTTGCAGAGGACCAGGGTTCAATTCCCAGGACCCACATGGCGGCTGACAACTGTCCATAACTCCAGTTCCAGGGGAATTTGATGCCCTCTTCTGACCTCTGTAGGCACTACATGACAGGAGTGTACTTACATACATGCAGGCAATACACTTATACATGGAAAAAAAAATTTTAAATGATAATAAAAGATTTTTTTTAAACGCAGGATGGGGGGCCAGGGCAAGAATTACCCTCAAACTTGACCAAAGAGGATAATCAAGTAAGGTGTTTTTAAAAAACAAAATAACAACAACAATGAAAACAGTTTGGCTAGTACCCAGGCTAACCTGGAACTCAGCTCCTCCTGCCTCAGTCTCCTGAGTACTAGGATGATAAACCTGGGCTACCAAGCCTGAGTCCCCACATTTGAAGTAAAACTCCCAAGCAGCCTTTCCCAGCCTCTCCCTCAGGGGCCTCACAAGAACCACTCAACATTAAAGCAGGAGATATTCGGGTAAGGTTCTAGGAAGGACTTCTAGCCTGACCCATGACCCAGTAGCCCAGGTTGCAGCATGAAGGCCCACGAAGGCCCCACCCACCCCAAAGTCCAGACTCCCAGCCCCCAGGGTTCTGAGTGGCTGCCTCGGGGTTCCATTTGAATTCGAGGGGGGGGGCTAGTAGAATCTCCTGAGGTCCAGCTGTCCTGTATGTCTATCCACCCAGGTCCTGGGTAAGGACAGGAGGCTGGGCCTCCCCTGAAGCCTTTGGCTGTGATCTGCCCAGGTCCTGCCTTAGGCAAACATGCAGAGCACAGGGTGAGGGAGAACAAGTCAAACAGAAAGAGATCCAGGTTCAGAAAAGGGCAAGGGGGTTCCCAGGGGGCCGAGAAGGCAGGGTTTGGGGTACCTCAGCTGCATCCCCACAGCCCACCCCAGACCCCCAGTAAGGCCATGCCACTCACCCTCCTTCCGCATGCCCACCCGGAAGCACTTCTTGAGGCGACAGTACTGGCACTGGTTCCGGTGATGCTGGTCGATCTGGCAGTCACGGTTGGACCTGTGGACACACAAAGACCAGGGTTCCCTGTGACACTCGCATCCTCCTCCATGAACTCCCAAGAAACACCAGTGGAGGCTCCCTGAACTGAGGCAGGGGTCCCAAAGGGGTGCGGGGACTCAGTTTGCAAACCTGCAAAGAGCAACCAGATCTGAATGGATGCAGATGGCTACAAATCCTCTGGAAAGCTGATGAGCACACTAACTAGGAAGGGTACTTGGGAACTGGGTTTTGAGGTGTGATTAGGAGTTCCCCAGACCAGCAAAGGATACAGAGAACTGGATTTGAAATGCAAACTGATGGGATGAAATGTTTTCATTTAATTTGGTTCCCATCAAGCCAAATGCCAGCAGTGACTGGGTCCCAAAACTGTGGGGTCCCAACGTTACAGCTTATGATTAGATGAGTGAATAACCCATTTCTTTACCAGGCACCAGGTACTACCGAGCATAGAAGTCCCTGGGCCCAGTGTTTCTGGGAGTTTCGGGGAGCAGCCTCAAGGTCCTAGTCCTGCTTTGGCCACCCCAGAAAGGGGCAGCAAGAGCCCAGATGCAGTGGGAACAAAGCCAACAGTCAGACAAGCAGTGGGAGGGGTAGCCAGGGCAGCAGGGCAGAACTGGCTATACCTGGAAGGGAGTTCTGCTCAGGGAGGTCTGCCTCCACTTCCCCGAGAGCTGTCCCTCCTGGTTAAAAACAGCAACAAGGGAACTCATAAGCTCTTTAGTTACGTGCATGCTTTGTCTGATGGTGCAGCCCAATTCTGCCCAGTCTCTCAGCTTTGGGCTTTGACCCCAACTTTTGTTGTTTTGGGATGGGGGGCGTCTCACTATGTTGCACAGACTGGCCTGATACCAGGGCTCCAGCCATCCTCCTGCCCCTGAGCTGAGGGGCTGTGGATATGGCCCAGCCCACCAGTTCCAGTGCTTTCTGATGACAGCGGTGCCCACTCAAACATCGGCCCTGGCTCTACCACAGCCCTCAACCCAGCTTCTCACACTTGCTCTTGACTGGTGTCTGGGTGCACCCCCTGATGTGGCCTCTCACTCAGGGTCCCTTGCATCCTCTCCTGCCTGGCAGTTTCCAGTGCTGTGCTACCTCCTGATGCCCCCACTTGAGTCACTTGGACTTCGGTTGCTGGTTTCTCACCTTTGGGGTTCAGAATCACTGATCACAACAGGTCACACAGCACAGGTTCCAAAGAACCCATCAGGCCTTGCTGCCATTGAGGGCCACCCTTGGGGAGCTAGAGGACCCCAAACCCTAGCCTCCTTCACAGTCCCCAAAGGCCCCACCCAGAGCCAGCACTTATTCCAGACGCAAAATGAGGACAAAGTCAGGTGACCCAGTTACAGCCACAGCTGGGGGGGGGCAGGCCACCCTGATGTGGCCCTGACCCTGGACCTGCTCCAGGCCAGACCCCCACCAAACTGGCCATTGGCAGATCCTCCGGAAAATACCCGAGCCACATACCCCTGATAAGCTCAAAGCCCAGGACCCTCATGTGTGACCCTGGGGCTCCAGGGACCACTTTGGGCCTCAGCTCTGTATATCTGGGAAACGGGGCTGTCTTTCAGAGATCCCCTAAGTACCTGGGGTTGCACAGCCCGGTGTCTTAAGCATGTTAAATGCTCTGTAACCCCAGGGCTGGACACCCCAACCTCTTTTGCAAGGAACCTTCTGGCCCCAGCAGTAACCAGTAGGCGAGGCCACGCCCTGCTTGCCCTGCACAGGGGTCCTCCAGCGGCCCCTCCGGAGCGCATCTCCCACCCGTGTCTGCCTCAGAGCCGCCCCAAAGTTGAAAGGATTGTCCCAGGGCCTGAGGCGGCTCCAGTCCTGGGAGGGGGGTGCGGTCAATTCCGGTGGCCTTGCTGGCCCTCCAGTGGCAGCTTCCGGTGACCCAAAGCCCGGAGTGAGCCCAGGGGGTGTCCTGGGGTCCGCAGGCCCAGCTCCCATGCCCCTGCGAGGGTGCCCCCCCATCCGCCGCTGGCCAGGGCGACTTTGGAAGTGATATTTGACCCAAGGGCGGCCGTATCGATCGGTGAGGCCCAGACAATGGCCCCTGGATGCCGGCAGCCTCGCGGCGCAAGTTCCACCTCTGATTCCCACTCGCGACGGGTACGCACGAGAAAAGGGGCGTCCTGGCGATGGATAAGGGGCCAGGGTCCCCACTCCTGACAGCACCCACGACCCCTCCCCGCGCGGCAGGAACCAGCTCCCCAGGGGAGAAGAGCAGTAAAGACCATCTGCTGGGAGGAGGATGGGGAAACACCTGCATGTATGCAGCGCCAACTGTATACCCGACCTCAGCAACGGCCATGCGGGCGTTGTGGGGCGCGGATGTAGTGCAGGGAAGGTCAGCGCCAGGCCCAAGGTGACCGAGCTCGAGGCCGACGAGGTGTCCGCGCGTGGGGCTCACCTGCAGGTGTAGCTCAGGTTGCGGCGGACGCTGCGCTTAAAGAAGCTTTTACAACCCTCGCAAGTGAACACGCCGTAGTGCTTCCCGCTGGACCGGTCCCCGCACACCACGCAGTCCACCTGCAGCCCGGGCCGCTCTTCGTCGCCGGGCTCCGCATCGCTGGCCGCCCCAGGAGGCGATGCCGAGTCGTCCTCGGTCGCGCGTGGGTAGCTCCCACCCGCCTTGTCCACGCCGTTTGTGTCGCCTCCGGGGCCGCCCCAGCCCCCGGTCACCATGGCCATAGCCCCCCGGGCGGCGGGGTCCGCGAGGGGTGGGAGTCGGTCCCCTGCGGGCGCGCCTGGCAACCCGGGGGTTCTCCGTTACCCCGCGCGCATGTGGGGCGCGCACGGGGGGCTCCGAACGCACCCCCAGAAAAAGTTTTGCAGCAACTTCCTGCGGCCGGTCCGCGCGCCCGGCAGGAACTGGTCGGGCCGGTTCCAGGCCAACTTTCCCACGCGTGCCCGCAGCCGACGGGGGCGCGCTAGAAGCGCGGGTCGTGGGCATCCGGGCCCTGTGGCCGGGTGTCCTGGGGTCCCGGCGGGGACACACGAGCCATGGCTAGAGCCGGGGCAAAGTTTGGCCGCAAGTTGCGCGGCGCGGGGGAGGGGCGTGCGCGCGGGGCCGCGGGGCCCGGGTGCGCGCGGAGCAATAGGGCCCGGTAGGGAGTGCGGCGCGCCGCCTGCCCTTGCCCGC